GAAGACATTGAGAGGATCAAGAGCAGTTGCCAGATTCGAGTGGGATATATAACAATGCAAACACAAGATGGTGGGGAGGTGCTAGAAAGGGGGATTGGGAAGAGGTGGCACAATGCTCTCGTCTGTAGAGATGGCATCTGCGCTTGGCCTTGAACAGGACTCTGTCCATAGTCTCAAACAAGGTCGAAGAAGACGCCACGAGGTTGTCCATGGAGGCCAGAGAGGTGGAATATGGACGAGTCGGCGAAAGCCCTAACCAAATTGATAGTCTTGACAGAGCTCCCAATCTCCCTGAGGTGTGCGAGTGTGGATGCTGGTCCTCATAGCAATTGGGAATAGAGTGGACAAGAGGAGGTTGAATGATCACCAGAGACTGTAGGGCAATATGGTGCAAGGCTGATGGAACAAACCACATGGGCCGAGTTCAAATTGCTGTCGTGTAAAGGCACCTCAGGAGAACTGTGGACAGAAAAGATGCTGGGCCAACGTACAAGACGAGCAGTTCCATCAGGCGCAGATATTGCAGCCAAATAAGAAGGGTCAGCTAACTTCCACAGATCACTCAGTCCCAGACGTGGCTCGCTCCTCTCAAAGTCAGGACAGGTTCTCCGACTGAATTGACTAACCACGTAACAAAGTGCGAAACAACGATGAGGCACTCACTGTTATGATCTCAGTCTTCTCGACTTGTGGACCATGTACCGGGTACTGCGATACTTTAGCATCACTTGGCTCTCAACAACGGTTTCTCTATTGGACTCAGGTGTCGTTCTCCGTGGGCAAGGACATTGACGCTGCGGGTATGAGCGACCGAGATCGACAGCGAAGGACACGTGCTCTACTGAAGGATCGGATAGTGGTGCTTGCATGGTGGCGTCGCCCTCGCATGGCTAAGAGTGAAGACGGAAGTTTTTGAAGGTCAAGTTCTAGTTTGGCGGTTGCAGCGGAAGGTGGATCCCGTGATGTGCGAGCATGTGTACTAGCCCTCTCCATATCAGGTCAAGAGAGCTTGGCAACAAAGTCTGATTGGTTTGGCACCGGCTTCCTATCCGAGTACCCCACCCTGCTGCACGTCTCCTCCTGGGTGTGATGCCTAGTGGTCCGTGTAAGCTCTTGATTGTTCGGCTCTCAGTGCCAATAACTAGTCGTACGTGCTACCTAGGTGCTAAATGGATATGCAGTGGGGGCCTCCCCTCCGTACCTAGGTACCTAAGGATGCTCCTCAGACCCTGCATTGTTTGCCCCCTTGAGCCTTCCACGGGGGTTTATGAATGCAGGGACTCCCTTTTTTTTTTCTGGACACCCAATTGCTTGTATGCCTTATACTCTGACGGGCCGGACCCCTACATGTGCCTTACCTAGGTAGAAGGTAAACATTTCTCCTGAACTCTTGTAAGACCACAAATGTCGTTTGTCGTTTGATAGGTATTTTCTTTATCCACAATGCATATAATGAATAAATCACTGTTGGTTTTCATGCATCTATCGTTCAAACCTTGCTTGCTGGTTTAGTGGGAAACAAAAGCCTTCTTTTTCGCCCCCTAACCCCGCCAGATCTGCGCCTAAGCGAGCCGCCTGAGAGCCGCCCCCCCAGAAAAGGACATGTAGGTACCTGATCTGTGGGAAGCCGAATGTTTGTCAGAGTCCCAACGCAATCGGCTGCATTTAACCTTTGATGCCACTACCTTTTCACTCTGCGCCTGCCCGTTGTTTGTCTCTTTCCCTTGTCTCCTATCTAATAGCGAGAAGCCTGCGGAGAACGACAAGAGAAACAATGCCTGGCGGGGGTGTTTGTCCTTTTGCCGTCGCCTGTCACACAATTCAATTTTAAATTGTGCCACTATCTTTGGCGTCCCTGTCCTTCGTATTCTCTCGTGATACTCGGAGCAGAGGAATATCTCTCATTTCCAGTGTCTCGTCCTTTTGTCCAACCATCCCCATTCCAGTTGTTGCCTCCTTTTCTGTCCGCTTGGCCCTGCATTAGCCATGACAGACGGCCCTGTGCAGCCTCCAGCTGCATGGAAGTCGTTGGAGAAGGATTATCGGGCAAAGTCCACCGAGATCGAAGCAGTGTTTGAAGTGCTGATGAATTCCTCCCCTCTGCTCCGGATTGTGGTTGCTGACTTCCTCAGAAACTGGTCCAACTCCTTAGCGCCACAGAAGCAGAATGCGAGAATCTCAGGTACGATCTTCAAGATCAAACCGAATCTCGAAGACACTGGCACAAGCGCGCGACAGAAGCCGAATCTCGATTGGTTGGCCCTCCCTGTTGTCCTACCCCCCCATGGCGTCTTTTACTGATCCGTCATGGCAGTCAAGTGTACAACATGTCATGGTCCTCTTCGACGGGAACCACCACTTTTTCAGTCCAAACCTTGTAAGAGCAGGAATACAAGGGGCAAAGTCAGCGATCGATACTCTTGTGGCTGAGGCCAAAGCATTTGCCCGCGAGCAGCACAAGAATGACCTGCCAGACCTCCTCTCGGTAATAGTGCACATTTTCATTGACGTGGGCAAGCTGGCCGACGACCTCTCTACCGCGGGCTCACCTCCCGACCCAGATCAGCTCTGGACTTTCATTCAAAATGCAAGCAAACTGGAGCCGGGTGTTACAATCTCTGACTGCGGTTCTGGTCACCATGCTGTCGATGCAAAGATCAGGCGTGAGTCTAGAGAGATCCTGGTTGGGGGCCGCTAACTGAACGAGACCTAGACTTCTACGAACTGTATCTCGAAAACTGCCATTGCAGACATCTTTTCCTGGGGTTGAATCGCCAATCGGAATACTTCAAGGTCCTCGAGACTTACGCCGACGATGATTACACCAAGTCAAAGACGTCGCTTGTGCGGTTGGGCGGGGGAACAGACAATGGCTACAACCTTCCGTTCCATACAGTCGACTTCTCCGTCATTGAAGCTGTGCCGCAACAGGCCACTTCCCTCTCCGTGATCAACTCTCCGGTCAACGGAACTGCAAACGGAACTGCCAATGGCTCGTCCCTGGCTCAGCGATATGAGGACCCTAGTACGCGATTTTCGACAGACTCCCTTAGCAATCCGAAGCCTTTGGTCCAACTCCCTCGGCCCTCCCGCCCCGCGACCTTCGCTTCCAACACCGAAAATCCTACTACTCGGGCCATCGAGAATATGCAGATGCTACCCGCCACAATTTCACAGATGCCCGCCAAAATACCTGCCGAGGTAAATGGCGATATGGACAATTTGGATGGCTCGAGCTCGGTTGGCGTTGTCAAGCTCGACACATCTTCACATTCTTCTCGGCAATCGAAAGCTGCAGAACAGAGTTGGGAGAATGCACAAACTAACAGTTACGCACCCCCTGCCATCGCAGCTCCGTGGGGAGAGGAAAAGACGAAGGTTGGGCAGGTTGTGGAGGAAGAGCCCGTATTGTGGAGGAGATCAAACAACAACCACTCTCGAAGACAGAAACAAAACCACCGAAATAAAGAACGTCCTTTCAGTGCTCAACCGCCAAGACAACCTCCTCGCCATTTTGAAGGGTCGTGGGATGACCTGGTTCAGAGTGAGCAGTCTAAAGCACCAACCCAAGTATCGTCTCCATCGCCCGCACCTGCAAGTGCAACCCTTTCGTCGGCTGCAACCAAATCAAACGACTTATCGCCAGCATTCACCCGGCAGGCTTTAACGAAACCCGACCCAAACCCTCTAGCACGCCCTATTTGCTCTCCCATCGCTCTAAACAAGTTAGGGCAGCGTATCGACTTGAAACTTCCGCGTGAGGCACCGGCCGACCACGAAGCTTTCGAGTTGCGTGTCAGCAATCGACAGTTATGCAATGAGCATCACATGCGAAACAATTGCAATGACCCACAGTGCCCGTTTGACCACGAGGAGATCTCGGATGGCATTTATCTTGCATTGCGAAATATAGCTCGCAGCAAGCCGTGCGGCCAGGGTGCCGAATGCCGACGACATGATTGCTATTGCGCTCATCATTGTCCCAACATATCAAAGTATTCCACATGTGCCAGGGTCATGTGTCCCTTCCAAAAGAAGGGATTACATTCTATCGTCGATCTGGAAATTGTCGAGACGATTGAACCGCCAGAAAGGAAGACTCAGAAAGAAGGAGGATCGCTCCTGTGAGAGGGATCCGGACTGCTTCAGGAAAAGCAAGGTGAGCTTGGAAAAGACTGCCAGCATTACGATTTCGGAAACAGCGAGAAAAGGGAAATTTGTGATTGAGAAGGCGATTGTTTCTTTTCCCTCGATTTCATTGGGCATCACTGTAATCTTGCACTAATCACACCTTGTTGGAGCTTTAATGAGTTCTCGAGGACGCAAGAGAAGCGTGGTGGCATAAAAGGACCGCTAAGGGTTCTGGGAAGGCAGCCGTTTGTGTCGCGTCGTCAACCACAATATGGTGGTAGAACGGCACCAGCGGGCAACCGTGTATGTAGCAGGGCATGCCCTTGGTCTCAATACAAACTAGACTGAATCAATTGGCCACGGAGTGTCTGCCGAACGAGCCCCTCACAGCAAGTCGTTTATTCGATGCGAATTCTACACCTTCAGAGCTAGACTAGAAGAGCGAGTCAGCGAGTGTATTTACGACGAACACGTCGACTGAGCGCCAGAACTAGCGGGCCAGTCAGAAAAATCAGTGTAGAGAGCGGAGGGCAGGTGGACCAACCTTATAAAGGGACATGTTGTGATGCCGATCATGTATCGACAGTGACCAGGTAGCCAGGCTGTACTCGGGAGGGCTTTGCTCGGGTGCAATAACATGGCGAGCCAGATTTCTCTCATGCACAGATCGTCTGAGATGGTGACCCGAGGCTGCGTGGTCGGGCAACACCACTAAAAGACCCAGAGGCTGTGTTCTGGGAAATTGACTGCTCGTGGGCAGTGGTTGTACGGTTCTTTAGGCGGAGACACGGTCTGTGTTGTTTCAATGTCACCGAGGGAAGGAGCTCGTCATAGCATCCAGATCCTCGCCGTCGTTGCGATTTTTTTTTTCAATCTCTGTCCATTTTGTCCTCGTCACGGGGATCCCTTCGCCTGTCTCTGTCGCGGTCGCGGCTCCGACTCCGGCTTCTGCTCTTGCTCTTGCTCCTACTCCGTGACCTGCTGCGGCTTCGACTCCTCCCGCCTCTGCCCCCGGCGCCACGGCCCTTTGTTGCGACGCCGCTGGCACGGCTTCCTTTATCCTTTGGTGGCGGGCGGACGAAGGCGTAGTCGACAGAGATGGTCTGGTCGAGCAGTTTTGCGCCGTCTAGAGCCTTGATGGCGGCCTGCGCTTCGACTTGGGTAGGGTATTCAATCAGGACGTAGCCCTACCAAATCACCGAGCTCGAGTTAGTCGCATTGTTCTCTGACGTTTCCGCGTCTTAGGGCATGGGCCGTTCATTGCTCTCTTGTTCCCTCCTTCCTCCCTCCCTTTGGTCCTTCCTCTCTGTCTGGGTCCAGCCGCGGGGAGGATGTTCTAAATCCAAGAGAGAGTGCTTCATCTTTTCACGTACCTTGACGTACCCCGTCCTCCGATCCAAATTCAAATGCAAGTTCTTGATGTCCCCGTACTCGGCAAAGAGGTCGTGGATGTCCTCCTCAGTGGCTTCCTCGTGGATGTTGGTCGCGATCACGATCCAACCCTCGATACTGCGGACGGCGACGGCGTTTTGAGCGGTGCGAGCCTCGGCGCCTGCATTGGCAGACGACTTTTTGGTGTCAGTAGGGGACGAGGTCCCGTTTTTGGGATCGGTTGGAGGGGCGGTGTCGACGTCCATTTCGGTCGACATGGTTGCGGTCTATCTCCACAGAGAGAGAGAGATTGCGGTGACTGACGCAGGTAGGAGAATGAGGTCTAGCAAGAAGGTAAAAGGGAGATTGTTTGAGCGAGGGCGGTTCGAGGTCGATGTGGAGGTTGAGGTAGAGAGCTAAAACTCCAGGCTTGTGTTGTTCTCTTCTGTAGTCGCCCGCAACCGGAGTTTTACCAGCAAGGCTGGGGAACGGGGTTCCAACTTTCAGTCAGACTTGGCATTTTACTCTTTTCGATTTCCTGAGGACCATAGGTACTTGTGCATAAGTACCACTACTAGCTATTGTTATCCCACATCCAAGGGATATGTGCTTCCATTTTGCCCTTTCAGTCTGGATGAAGACCACCCGCTTGCACTAGGGGATGACACCTTAGCCAGCACCTTCAATCAAGGTGCCATCTGCAAGGATCCATGGTCCAGTCCCGTCAGTGATGCGAACGAACAGGTATCCCAGCCTCGTTTGCCTCCATATTCGACGCCCATATCTCCGAGTGGGTCAAATCCGTAGGTGAACAACGGCTGATGCTTGAAGAGGTTGACGTTCAGCATGCCGGCACTGACTTATTTGCGACTCGACAGATACGCTGTCTTTCACTGTCTAAATATGTAATTGTTAGCAAAGCTGGATATGCTGGTATATGCCAACCGGTCCTCTATGGCAATTTTTTACCACTGCCGAGAACAAATGAAGGAATTAGGCGGACTCAGCGGCCTACAGGCTCAGACATGTCACATCACAATTCTTGGTAAAAGCATAGGTATAATTTGTTTCCGATTACACCCTTCTAGTATATTGGATGGGTTGAAATCTCCCAAAATCGCCTTTAAGACGGGGTCCTTTGAAATAGAAAGGTGCATAGTTAGGAGTCGAATAGTCTCCTTTTCCTCAGAGATAGGGGTGGAATGTTCGAACTGTAAACAGCCCCATTTCATCCTTCCGCATGTTGAATGTCGAGGTCAACCAAAGGCGTCTGCGGTCAAGGCTTGCCGCTTCACCAACCAGAGACATTTTGGAATAGAAATAAACGCCTGAGTTGCAAGTTTGGCAGAAGGAAGGACAGATACTGGCAGAACTGTACTCGTCCTTGTTTTGCTCTTCGAACCTGAAATGTTGATCTGGCCATGTTTGTTCTAAGCTTACATTGGAAAATCCATACACACCTCCGCACAGTATGCTCCTGGCTCCATTAATCGTCTCCATGAGACATATTTTCTCGGGGTTTCAGTCCTCGACCTCACTTGCCGACCAGTTCAAAACTTGCGGGAAGCAAACCACCAAAAACTTCCACATCCTGCACAACCCAGATATTGCGCGCAACTCCACACAGTCCACTGGTACCTGCTCCTCGTCTCATTTCGTCTCGGCGTGGCGCAATCCGCTGCCACAAAAGGGTATATCTTGACTGTTTCAAACAATCCCAATATCCAAGGTAGATTGAATCCCTCTAGAAGAAGAGGTAAGCGATGAGGAAGCTGATTAGACATAGGGCAGCCACGAGTTGCAACGGAACCCCTGATTCGTGGCTTTGCTGTACCACTGCCTGGACTTTCTCATTCGCCTCCTGTGCCTTTCGCTGCCGGACTTGGGGGTCTTTCAGTTGGCTTGTCAGTTTTTGAATCTGAGCCTTTGCGGCTGCTAACTGTTCCTTCAGCTCCTCGTTTGATGTGGGAACAGCGCTGGCAACGGTTGAAGCGGCAGCGGTGAGGCCAGTCGCTTCCGCAACATTTGTCACAGATGACTTGACGGACTCGGCGGCTGACGCGTTGGTTGAGGTTTGCTGAGCGGGTGAGCCGAATTGCGGGGTCGGGGAAGAGTAGGCTGGTGGTTGCTCTTCATGAGAGGATACACCGTTGGGGGTAGCTGCAGTAGCAGGAAGGAAGTTGACACGGATCTTCCTCTCCTGGATGGATCCTTTGGCTGTCTTCTCGACCGTCTGCCAAAGGGTTGTGACGTTGGGGTCTTGATCGGCCGAAGTGAGGACGGACTGGACGAGGAACTTATCCCGGCATTTGGCGTCGAGTGGAGGTTCTTCTTTCATTGCTTGTAGGAGAACTACCATGGTCAGCGCCGGGGAGTATATGCCAGAGTGTCAGGTCACACCTTGAACGTCGACGGATTCATTGGGCGCGATGATGCCCGAGTTCGGTCGCACACAGTATCTGATCCGCTGTTAGACGAGTGTCTTTTATTCCTTTCTCTTTCTCGGGCGCAAAACTCACTGCTTAGGGGCTGTAGTCTTGACCTATTTGCCATCTGTTAGCATGCGGATAATCAGTTGACCGATTGAGAAATCTTGTACCTTGAAGGCCACGGGTTGGCTATTGGGATTTGTAAGTTTGAGGATCTCGCTAACTTCGCGATTGAAAGGGCCTGCTCAAAACGTGAGTATGTGTCGAGTTAGAGAAGTATGAGGACTGACGTCGGAAGCCCAGTTCGGCTGGCAGGAGATCTACAGACATGGTAGATTGTCGACAGGAACAATGCGCAGTCCAACGGCGAGGAGAACAGCAATCGGAGGCTCTTAGAGACGACGATGGAAGGATGCTGAAGTAAAGGATTGCTGAGACCGTGTCAAATTGATAGAGATGTTGAGTGGATTGTTCAGCAGACTTAGTAGTTTAGCGAAGTAAAGGAAGGAGAAGGCCTATGACGACCAGAGTGATGCGCAGTTACTCGGGATTTGAAGTGGCTGGAAGTCGATTACTGGTGATTAAGGCGACAAATCCGACTCAGGGGATCTGGCGACTGGGTCACTAAGGAGCTGCAGATATTAATGGGGGGGGATGGCGCCTCCAAGGACGCACTTGGAGTGTGTGATGACGCTGATGGCAAAAGCCCGCTAACTGTTCAAGGCCTCCCTACCGTACCCAAGAACCCAAGATGCCCTCATAGGGTATAAGCGGCTGCTCAGTAATAGTACCTAGGCTCGCGGCTCGCGACTCGCGAGCCTGCCAATCCACCCGCGCCCAGCCCGAAAAGTGTCCCGCATCAACCACTTTAACTTATTCCTCCGTAAAATCACGCCAACTCCCCGCACCCTCATCGTTGCTATCGAACATTTTGAGTGTTTGCTGCCTGTGTACCTCGACAATCGCTAACAGTGTTCCCATCCTCTCACTACCTTGCCTTCACCTTCACTGTCACCCTCACACTTAAACTGCTATTTCTACCGCCTCCTCGTCTGTTCAAAGATTCTCCACTTCCAGATTAGACTACGCCCCCCTCCATCCTCGTTCACACCAGCCTGACCCCGATCAAATCAATCATTACAAAAACCTCCCAGACTACGCTGAAAGCAACGATGGCGACGTCTGATCTGGATCAACTGGTCATGATGGGCTTTGACAAGGAACGCGGTGAAATGGCACTGAAGAGCACAGGTAGTTGTAAGTATCCCAAATCTCCTCTTCCTTCACTCTGTGCTGAAACAATGCAATAGTGGCAGACGCAATCGACTGGCTCGACGCAAACTCCTCAAAGTCTCTAGAAGATCTCAAGGCCGAGAAGGACGCAGCTGCAGAGGCAAAAGCTGCAGAGGCAGCCGAGGAGGCACGGAGCCTTGTGTGTAACGAATGCGGGAAAAAGTTTAGAGGGACCGCCCAGGCAGAATTCCACGCATCAAAGTCTGGCCATACCGATTTCGCAGAGTCGACCGAAGAGATTGCCCCCTTGACTGAGGAAGAGAAACAGGCCAAGCTAGCAGAGTTGAGGGAGAAACTGGCCGCTAAGCGAGCAGTCCAGTCCGAACAAGACAAGGTCGACAAGAAGCGCAATGAACAAATCAACCGCAAGAAGACCAAGGAAACTGAAGATCTCAAAGAGCAACTCAAGGTCAAGGAGCAGATCAAGGAGGCCGAGAAGAAGAGGCGAGAGAGGCAAGAGGACATTGAAGCGAAGAAGCGGATTCAAGCCAAGATCGCGGCCGATAAAGAAGAACGACGACTGCGAGCAGAGCGGGAAAAGGCTGAGCGAACTGGCACAGCACCTCCAGTTGCGGCTGCAGCACCTCCTCCAGCACCGGCTCCAGCAGCTTCCAAACCAGCGTCGGAGTATACAGAGACACGGTTAAGGCTACAGACATCGTCGGGCAATATAATGAAAACTTTCCCTGTCGGAACAACCTTGTTCGAGGTGGCGACTGCTGTGGCCGAAGAAATTGGTCGGGATGTCGAAAGTTTTACGCAGAACTTTCCAAGAAAGGTTTTCGACCGGGAGTACTTTGGGGAGAGCCTGAAGGACCTGAAGCTCGTGCCCAGTGCCAGCTTAATTGTGAAGTAGGTCCGCTTGCGTTTGCTTTGATGCGGCTCTTGATTCTTCATAGCGAAGGCGTCTGAGCTGGCTGGTTTCTTTTGGTGTCGTTTCCACGTGGGCTGGCGCTGACCAACATACACAAGGATCTATCCATTGCCCTGGTAGCATTCGGGGTTTCAGAGCTTATGAGAGAGACATGTAGAGAAAGCAATCCTTTCCCAAGGGATACCCAGCTTGAAAGAAATAGGAGACTTTGAAGGTGGTGCCATCTTGTCGGGGAACACTGCCTCAAATTCATGCCAGCGCGATCTGTCGGTCCTGTTGGCCATCCATTCATCGCCTCGTGCCAGATCCCATTTCATGCTTTCGCAAGAAACCACATGGTTCGCCAATCGACTGAGACCCCGGATTCCTCAATTATTCCTAGCCAGGTCTCGACACCTCGCGAAAATACCGATCGGTACGGGCAATGAGGCCACATTCTATGTCTCTTGGTGGAGGAATGTGTAAGAAGTCCAAGATGAGAGGGTCCTCTGGTATGCGAGGTTAGATCTCAAGGATCAATTGCTCATCACGGGAGCTCCAGAGATCCAAAAAACCCGACCAAGCTATAGAGATTTTCTCTCAGTGTCCCAATTTTCGCTCCCAGAACCATTGTGAAGCTAACACAGGTGTCGCAAGCGGAGCTGGCCTGCTGCATTCTTCGAAGAGAGCATCAGACGGTGTTCTTCACTGGTGACCGGGGTGCATGACCCCAACTCTTTGAGGGAAAGAGTCCTCTACGAATGGACCATGCTACTTCGAGGCTGAGGACGAGAATATTTCTCTTCGATGCTTGATGATCAACACTGGTGCTGCTGTTCCTTTTAACACTCACTCAGCGAGCACCAATCCCGACAGAGGGCGCTCTAATGAGAGCATCTCCAAGCCGGTACTGACTTTCTCTGAAGTATCGATTCATAACCCCCATACTGACTGGGTTCCTTGGGCATGAGGAATGGGTACTCGAGAGGGAAGTGGCCGAATCTACTGTTGCTGAAGAACTGTCCGAAAGCAAGGAAGACAGCGACGAGATGGAAGACACATGAGACCTCCTCAGTTTCGTTGTGAAATCGTGGCATAAAGCCTCCTGATCATCTTGATGCGTTTCCTGCACTGCATCCGTCTGGACTGCGGCGTCTGAATACGAGGGATTTGTCGCAGTTTGGCGCTGACTCCCACCTGAGATGCCGGGCCACGCTTTCAAGGATCGGTCCTCCTGGCTTTTATTCCTCTCATGCGACGCTCTCAGTGATATCACTCCGGCTATTGCAATGCTCCGTGGTCTGACTCTCTGCTTGAGCACCTGCCGCCGTTGTATTGACGGACGCGGTTGATCTTGCTCTTGGACATCGTCCGAATGCGAGAAAGTATGTGCCTTCCGTCGGATCGTCGTTGTTTGGCCCGTGTGTACCGCAACTTGTGTGAGGGATCTCCGGTGGTTGCTGCCCACGTGTTCTCGCAGGTTGGTGTTGATATGCGATATCCGCTCGTACTGGTCGAAAGCGAAGAATTCATCGTTGTGGCCAAGGGAGACTTGGAGGCTCTCGAGATCTCTGCTTGACCCGTCGGGAGGGAAAAGCCATTCGTCGAGCGCGCGTGGTAGCCCTTGTCTCTCTTCAAAGAAGAAAGGTCGAGTCAATAATGGCTTCAATTAACGAACAGAATGGCTGCTCGACTCACCTTGTCTATATCCTCCCTGTCTGTCCTGCCAACACATATAATACCGGTCGAAAGCGCCAACCGCATACACAAGAATCTTGTCGACACTCTCCAAGTGCGTGAGCAGGTTATTGACAGGACTCTCTGTTCTTTGTGGATTCGTCACGACCCTGCGTTTGAACAGGTCAGTCTGGCCAATTCGCCATTGCTTGCTCTCGTTTGTCTCATTCTTTGAAACTTACTCGTCTTCTTCGGAGTCGAAAACGGCGCAATTCTTGGGAGGTTGAGGTGCCATGGATTGGAATCCCTTACAGGACAAGACGAGGAACCCTTCTTTGGCATTATATCGATCGTCCTTGGCTGGATGTGGCTAAGCACCGTCTCTACGAGTCGTCACACATTATAATGAAAGCCCAGAGTGTGTGCTGCCGAGCACAACATCGGCTTCTGAGGCTTGCTGTGGGTCCTGATATCCTACTCGTATCTCTTCATGGCTGATTGCTCCCTATCAGGCCACTCGGCGCATGATATTCGGTCATGAAGCACTCAATGTCGCATCCGAGCTGACCAACAACCGATATGTATCTCTTACATTGTTTAACAGTCTCACACCTCTGACTGTGGCGGCTTCACGTTCCTACGAGTGTACAACTCGTAAAGCAGTGCTAGCGCTTCCATTGCCAGCCCTTGAAAAATATTCTGGAATGTTTCAAGTTTGACATTTCAAGACTACAAAGAGATCTGCGACTATGTGCTTCGAGCTGCAGCGTATGCAATACGCTTTGAACGGACTTTCTGGGTCCCAGTCAGCCTTGGTATATGATGGTATTCTTATTCTTTGTGCCTCTATTGACTATCTCAAGTGGTTTGTCTTGCCTGTTCTTGCTGTCGCAGAACCAGGTCCTTTTTCCATCTCTTCTCCCTCCTCCACAACTCGACTTCCAATATTCTCGTTCCCTGAGGAACCTTTGCTCGCAGGCCGTCATCGTCGCAATCGAAATATAGCGCCCATAACCCGCGCTCTTCCTCCACGACCACAAAACCTTCCCATCCGTCCAGAGTCATTCGGCGATCTTGCCTTGTGCAGTCCCACGGCCCTGTCATATTGGGTTGAGCGTCCACCCGCAGACCATACTTGACTTCGTACGTGTGCTTGTCGATGTAGATCCAGTTCAACATGGGCGGATCATCGGAGATTGTCGATACGAGGCCTTCATACTTTGCATCGGGGTACGGGAGGAAATATCCAGCGAAAGGATGTCCGAAGGGTGATGTATCTGCACTTTGTTCATATTGCTGGTCGTTGTCGTCATGATCATAGTCACTGTAGAGATCTTTTGACTTTGCGACGGGCTTGTCGACGTAGAGCTGGACGGTCATCTGCGTTAGTGACCATGTAGACTCAATTCAATCATGGAATTCCTCTCTGTGCAACGAGAGGGGAGAAGAGGGAGAGTTATGTTCTCACCCACTTTGTGATTTCGCAAGACGATCCGGCGACCATCAATCTCTTGACTTCTGCTCGACGCCTTGACGCATGTCGCGACCAGATTGCATCGTCGCGCGCGATGTTCTTCTCGCCTATCCTTTGACTGGCCCTGACGGATCGCTTCGGCCGTCGCCAGCATTGCCGGGCACGTTACCAGCGCAACGACCAAGGAGAGGACCATACTCGCTCGAACGGACACGTGAGACTGTATGTCCTGGTTTCAGAGTTGCGAGGTGGGCTGATTCTTCCCGATCTGTGGGATGCAAGTACTGTAGCGAGCGGAAACAAGTATAGGGGGGATCGAGGCGCCCCTTTATGCTTCGCGAGAGGCCAGCTGGGTGGTCTGCCCTTGACCGCCAACTTGGTCCTTGTTCTTGTAGTGAAGTCGCCATGGCTGGGAGATGACTGTCCTGTTATTGTATTTGCTGTCGTGCATTGAATGGATCCCAGCCCCCCAGTCAGGCCACACTTATTCTGACACCATAAGGTGGCGAGATCTGGGGGATTCGGTCTGGAACATGAAGGATTGGGGGAGTTTCAGGTCCCAGAAGAAGTTGAACTGTCTCAGCCTTGCGACTCTCTCCGTTTCCGGTCCACCCCCGTCTCGGTAGAAATGCTCACGAACTCATCAGGCCACAGTACTCCAGTCAAGGTGCTTCTCGTCTCTCTGCAAATGATGGAGTGGGACACCTCTGAAATGTGTGATGGGACACTCCAGAAACAGAAACCCCTTACTCCGTGACTCTGTCGCTCGCTTCTCTGTTCTCCGTACTGTCGATGTCGTTTCAGAGCGGCGATATCTCAGCTTCGACGAGAACATAAAAGATGAGAGGATGTCGCTCCTACTGAGATACATTTTCATCTTCATCACAACAACAACAACAACAAAACCAACGACACCAATTCATAGATTGCTTAGTCGTCTGGTACGACCCGAAAAAGCATTCAGTTGTCCTAATATTGCCTAATTTTGAACACCATATTCCCTGATCTCTTTTGACCTCGAGCCTGTCCTTGTTCATCTTTCCTCCAATATCGTCAAAATGTCTGCCACGTATGAAATCTCCTCGAGGTCTCTTGCAGAATCAAAACTCTGACCGCGTTCCAGGGCTACATACGGCAACGCCGCGGACAAGGGGTATTCCAGCGGCAGCGAAGATGGACAAGCCACAGGCCAGCGAAAGGCGCTGGCTACGACCAACGGCACCAACGGCGCCAACGGGTCATCAGCGTTACCATTGCCACCAACTTCGGATTACCTGTCGCAACCTGCGGGTATGTTTCCCCTGCATTCTCTTCTCCACTGTACCTTGAGTGCCTGCTGGTGACTGACTCCATCTTCACAGGGGGTCTGCTGAAGGGTGCAACAGACGAGAATGGTCACCTCAAGCCCGCTGCTCTAATGGTTGGCCTCAAACTGGATCTAGAGGCAGAGGTCCATTTGACAGCCCGCATTCGTGGTGACATCACGATTGGCTTGTACTGAATTGGCGTAAAGATGAGGGTGATTGATTTGCTCCAATCAAGACAACGGAAGGCAAGTTGCCTGGCTCGCTGGCTGCAGGTTCAGCCCAGGAGAAGGTGACAGGGCCTCTCGAAGTGCGATCGCGGGAGAAAGGGGACCCTCCAGGCTAGAAGGGTGGTCCAGTCAAGCACGAAATATCCTCGACCTGAAGAGATCTGAGACGAGACTTTGACGATGTATCGGTATCGCCGTCAGGGTCACCCGTATGTGCACCGACTACCATAGACCAGACCAAGGAATACAAATCCCAATGTCTTCAGCTGAGAAAGTTAGAAACGTGTTCGATTAGTACCTAGGATCTACAATACAACAGACGGTAACATAGTGCATTATCCGTACCGACTGATCGCTGTTTTAATAGCGACATGAGACTAACCATATATAGTCTAGTCGAGGGGGTGTCACCCCATCTACTTGGTACAAGTACTCGGACTGACCTTGACTTTGTATCTGCTTCCCTGCGATCTCGTCTGCAACTCCTGACAACCGCCTGTCAATCTTTCGAGACCTGCCCAGCTCAAACTGAACGAGCATCAGGATGTCCACCGCGACGGAGACACAGTCCATAAGTCGCGCCCGTCGAGCAAACTACTCTACCACCACCAAGGCCGAAGACAGAGGTACATCGGAAGAGCTGGACCACCAAAAACGATCTGCTGAAGACAAATTCTTTTGGACATACACGGAGGAACCTCACCGCACACGGCGGCAAGCTATCATAAAATCACACAAGGAAATCTTGCAGTTGTGCGGTCCAGAACCCCTGACAAAATATGTCGTCCTCTTCGTCGTTTTGTTACAAGTTTTCTGCGCCTATCTCCTCAAGGACTCCCCTGTTTTCTCATGGCGGTTCTTCCTTACGGCATACATAGTTGGCGCCACTGCGAACCAGAATCTCTTCCTCGCTATCCACGAGATCAGCCATAATTTGGCGTTCCGGACAGCCATTTACAACAGACTTCTGGCCATCTTCGCAAATCTTCCTATCGGGGTACCATACTCGGCTGGGTTTCGACAGTACCATTTGACCCATCACAAGTCGTTGGGCGTGGATGGTGTCGACACAGATCTCCCTACAGCACTTGAAGCAATCTTCTTGGACTCAGTCTTCGGCAAGGCATTCTTTTGCACCTTCCAACTCTTGTTTTACGCCATTCGTCCGATGATGGTGTACAAGATTCCCTTTGGACCAATTCACTATTGCAACATCGCTGCTCAAGTTGTCTTCGATATTCTGATCGTTCGGTATCTGGGCTGGAAAGCTTTGTCCTATTTGATCATGAGTTCATTCCTGGCTGGTTCGCTCCACCCGTGCGCTGCACACTTCATCTCAGAGCATTATGTCTTGGCCAAATCCACTCTGCAGCTCGGAAAGGTTCCGAAAGATGTACCTATTCCTGAAACATATTCTTACTACGGCCCGCTTAACGTTCTCACTTACAATGTTGGGTATCATAACGAACACCACGACTTTCCAGCTATCCCTTGGACTCGATTACCCAAGGTCTATGAAATTGCAAGAGAGTTTTATGAGCCTTTGCCGTGTCACAAAAGCTGGCCTTTGGTGTTATGGCAGTTCATCACTGACAAGGAAGTCGGGTTGTGGTGTCGAGTCAAGAGATCAGAAGGTGGACGCATCGTAGGAGGTTGGCAAGATGCTGAGGTACAGAGTTGATTATCAGCTTATCTATATGCCTCCAACCAGATAGACACAGCACATGTATAGAGACGAGGATACGAATGCACATGACTGAATTTACCGTGGTGCAAGGTTGTTGCCTGCCAAGTTTCAACTTGAGTCGAAAATGGAGCATCACTGACTGGTTTACACCTTCGCCACTTCATACACATCCCATTCCCTTCAAAGTTTGCCATTCTCTTCCAGTATATGAGTGCATCTACTAACCCTTGAGAATGCCGTCATCAGCAGTGGGGTGCTCGTCTCGTCGAGGGAGTAGTCGGCGTGGCTGGGCTAGAGGACGATCGAACGGAGGTACATCTCGGTCTCACTCCGCCCAACAGGGCACCCAGTCCTCTCGATATTGGCGAAATCGAAGAACGTCATCTGCGACTCCATCCCAGGCTGCCTCGAATGATCGTCCAACCCCTATCCGTTCCAATCTCTCCCCTCGACGCGAAGAGAGGTCCATCTCCGTGTCCCGAGATGAGGACTTTCTGGAGCAGGTGATCATGGCTGTCGACATCAAGGGCAAAGGCGAAATAGGTTGTGCGTACTACATTGCGGGCGAGGAGAGACTTTTGTGCATGGAAGAGGTTGTCGGTGGTGCCGCAGATGTCGTTGATACATGTATGAGCTGTGTGACCTTCATGTTGACCACGATCTCAGATCTATGGCAGTGAAATTGGACCTCCAGCCGACAACAGTGATCCTCTCTCTTCGCTCGGAATCTACCTCAGACTTTGCCGATGCTGGACTGTGCCAAACCGTGTCTCTGGTGGACAGTGGTAAGGCGGTATCATTCACACCAATGGAGTAACAGCTGACCCAAAGCAGACGACGATCGGCAGCCTCTCCCGTATCAAATCGAGATACGACCGACACCAGACTTTAGCTACGAGGATGCTCTGAATAAGCTGATCGGACTTTGTTCTTTCGCAGAGAATCCTACCACCCAGTTTCTCGTCCCAGGCGACTCCATGGCATACGACGAAAGGCTGGAGCCAGAAGATCTCGGTCTCACGAAGCGACGTGGCAAGATGATGCAAATCTCGTCGCGACTAAATCTCGACAACAAAATAAGCATCGGCTGTGCTGGTGCCATCATCTCTTGGTTGCAGCGGAGACGATCAGCTGCCTACCTGCCAGGAGATCCGGATGCCAACCAGACCTTCCGCATTGCCCGACTCGAAATGTTCAGCCTCCACGGGACCATGCTCGTGAATAGGGACACTCTTGTCTCGTTGCAAATCATCCAGCCAGAGTCTCATCCAAACGCGTTCAACCAAGGGCCTGGGGCCTCAGGGGGGAAAGAATCGCTGTCGATCTACGGCCTCTTCCAGCACCATACGCGAACCCCACAAGGAAAAGCACGCCTACGACAAGCATTCCTGAGGCCGTCTCAGGATATCGAGCTGATCAATACTCGCCTCGATTTTATCTCAGTGTTTGTCCGGCCGGAGAACCAATCGGTGCGTGACCAGCTCAGCAAGAGCCTCGGTCGGGTCAAAAACATGCGGAATACCGTCACTCTTCTTCACAAGGGGATCGACAGCGGAAAGGCCAAGCAGAACGCGTTCAAAGGTGGAGTCTGGGAGTCACTTCTGGGCTTCTGCTACCACGCAATCGACATTGCAGAGACTCTCAGAGAGGCTCTGGGCGCGGAGCACCTCCCGTTGTGCGTCCGAGCCGCGGAGGTGCTCGACCGACATAGCCTCAAGAGGATCGGTCGCATGGTGAACGAGATTGTTGACCGCGAATCATCTATCGACCAGCATCGCACCGTCGTGAACCGGGGCGTGAACCAAGACCTGGACCAGTTAAAAGATGTCTATGATGGGATGGAGGACATCCTCAACGAAAAGGCTCGCGAAATCCAGCTGACGATCCCTCCACACCTCAACCTAGAATTGAATGTCACCTATCTGCCACATCTTGGCTTCCACCTCACCGTCCCACGGGATCCGGCCACGGGCCAGGCGGTCTATGCCGGGCCAGAATTGGCGTGGCAGCTGATGTTCACCACACCGGCCCAGATGTACTACAAGGACGCGACGATGCACGAAATGGACCACGAACTCGGCGACCTGTACTCCGCGATTTGCGACATGGAGGTCGAAATCGCTTACGACTTGGCACAGAATGTGCTTCGGGACGAAGATCTGCTCACGGCGGCATCTGACATCTGTGGTGAATTAGACTATTTGTTGGCCTTTGCCCACGTCGCCCATCAATACCGCCTGAGTCGGCCCAGAATCACAGAGGACAACGTCATCGAGATCAAGGGAGGGAGACATCTGCTCCAAGAGATGACGGTACCGTCCTTTGTGGCGAATAACACCTTGATAGTTGGAGGAGACGGAGACGGAAACAGAGACACTGATCCGACAGGACCCAGCATGATCTTGTTGACGGGCCCTAATTATTCAGGCAAATCGGTCTATCAGAAGCAGGTTGCCCTGGCAGTATACATGGCCCAGATGGGATCATTCCTCCCCGCCGACTCGGCCATCATTGGCATCACCGACAAGATCCTCACGCGCGTCACGGCCCGGGAAACCGTGTCCAAGGTCCAATCAGCCTTCATGATCGAGATGCAACAGATTGCCATGGCTTTGAATTCATGCACTCGGCGGAGCTTGCTGGTGATTGACGAATTCGGCAAAGGTACCGACACATTTGACGGGGCCGGGCTCGCTGCGGGAGTGGTCCATTACCTGCTTTCTCTGGGAGCTCAAGCCCCAAAGACGCTCGTTGCTACACATTTTCACGAAATATTCGAGTTGGGCCTCTTCCGCAAAGCAGGGAACCTCGCCTTTGCGCACATGGAGGTGCAGGTCGATGAAAGAGACAGCCCTCGTGCCGGCGAAGATAATAGTCAGGTTACCTATCTATTTAATCTTCGCCCGGGCCGTAGCGACCTGTCCTACGGTGTCCAGTGTGCCGCGATGAACGGTGTTCCAGCAGAGATTGTTGAGCGAGCGGTCGTAATAGCTCGTCTCGCGCAACAGGGGGAGGATCTAGTGGCGACATGTTCGGCGTTGAAGGAGGATGAAGTTGAAGAGTTGAGGAGTGCGGAGCGGGCGTCGCGGATGTTTCTGGGTGAAGATTATGATCGTGACTGGGCGGAGGAGGAGCTCTTGTCTTCCCTAAGCGCCATGTTGGAGATCGATACAGTTTCTGAGGAGACATCTATTATCTCGGAGTGAGCTCACACGGATCTCAACTGGCATGTGTGGTGGCATTCATGCCCTTCTGCTTGCCCCAATTTTTGCACTTTGAGATGAAATCTGGAGCCACAAAAATAATGACGATAGAGCCCAGCCAGTTCCAAAAAATATCCATCACGTTCGAGCGAACGCTTCCGCTCATTCCACATCCTCTCATCAAGTGGCCCAGGAACATTGTGCTGATCATAAAGTCGCCCGCCCCCAGACGTCGAAGCACGATCTTGGCAATCGCCTCCGGCTGCTGCGGCTTGTCGTCCTTTTCGAGTTGCATTGTCAAGGTCGGTTTGATCTTGTTCTCGTTGTCCAATCCTGGTGAGATGATGCCCATGGGAAACACGATGTGGACTTTCATGTCAGCGTCCGGCACAGGGCCTGAGGACGGATTCTGGCGAGATCCGTTGTACACCTCGACCTCTTGGTTCAACGAATCGGCCAAGGCCCGCATGGCCGCTTTGCAGGGCGAATATGGGCTGTAGCCTGCCACAGGGAACAAGGCCAGAACAGAGCATGTGAATATCAGGTGCCTGGTCGGTTTTGGTCGAGATGCCGACTTGTTCTCATCACCTGAGGCTTTTGGAGAGGGTGTCTTCCACATGTTGATGGCGGCATGGGCCATCCACGCGCTGCTCCAGTAGACCGTGTCCATCTGGTCCTTCAGTTTATCCACAGGCGCATCCGCGAAGAACGACGGATAACAGTGCCCCGCGCAGCAGAAGATCAACTCCGGCGCCTCCCCGTTATTCCATGTCTTGATTTCCTCCAAGATCTTGGGTGCCGACTCCGGGGCGCGGAGGTCAAAGGAGAGAGAGAGGAAGCGCTGGGACTGGGCGTTTTTGGCACGGCTCGCCAGGGTCGTAACGGCGGTCTCGAGTTTCGGGACGTTCTGCGCGACGATGACCACGTTGGCGCCCCGGGCGGAAAGTTCTTGCGCGAGGGCCAGTCCGAGACCTTGGGAGCCGCCGGTCACCACGGCCGTGAGCCCCTCGACGGGGAAGTGGTTTTTGGACGAGAAGAGCATTCCGGCCACGAGCAGCGTAGATAGTAGGACGATAACGGCGGAAACAGTGAGGTTCGGGGAGGTTCCTTGCGACCACCAGTCCGAAGACATCAGAGGGACTCGGTCTCCCTCGCAGAGATTTCGAGCTTCGAATCACGAGTGCGGTGATAGAGGAGTGTTGGAAGCATGAAACCTGCGGCTGGTTGTGCTCATCGGCCGTTTCTCCTTTACTCCAATTGCGTCTGAGTTTCTAGGGCAAACGCTAGGGAGCAACGGAGAAAAATGGTTTAGGGGCCGTCAGGTACCGACGTCAAGAGTCAAGACCGCTAAAAGCATATTTTGACTTCCCAAATCTTGTCTCTTCGTGCATCTCCTCGGTGAAGTAGTGGCCGAGGTCGGCACATGGCCCTTCCGAATGTTCAACGACATCATCTTTTGTTTACCTCATCAAGCAGCAGCCAGCCAACCGGCACTATCATTTGTCTTCAGGCTTCTCGAGAGAAGTTCTTGAAATACCCCATCCCATGGAAGGATGTCCCTTCTCTCAAGCTGAAATAATCAAGCGCTGTTCGACCGCTGCTTTCCCAGAGGAGCACATTGGTGGAGCGCCGTACGGCAACAGAGTTCTCCAGCTCAGTGCAACGGTTGCCGTCAAGTATGGCGTCGGTCTCACCCAGGATGAGGCAGCAAACCAGCAGAGGGCATATGATCTTCTCGATCGAAAGATTGTGCGTGTCCCGAAAGTGTATACTTTCTTCCAGGACGATTCTGATCGTCGAGGATACCTGGTGATGGAGTTTATGGAAGGGATAGTGAAAGAGTCCCTATCAGACGACTCTGAGATCCACCAGTTGTCGGCCATCCTGGACCATTTTGCAAGCATAAAATCATCAAACCCAGGTTCACTCGGGGGCGGTCCGCTGACGGCCCTCCTCTTTGGTGAATCCGAACCCCCGACTTTCAGAACAATTCAGGAACTCGAAGCGTGGTTCAGTGAGAGACTTCTAGATCCAGGTACGAGGGTAACGCTCGCGGATTCTGACTTGGTCTTATGCCATCTCGACCTTTTCCTCCGAAACATTCTCTGGGCTCAAGACCAGCCGCCATGTGTTCTGGACTGGGCTACCGCCGGTTTCTTCCCTCGGATCTTCGAGAGGTGCTCCCATCTCATTAAGCCCGAATCAGCAAGCTGGCAGGTTGTGCTTAACGTCCAGATTTCGCCGGACGAAGATTACCAATGCGGTTTGATCATGAAAGCGTGGAGGAACGATCAGCGATTCTCATTGTATGGAATGTTTCCCCGTTTCGCTGGTTCTACACTAATCTCATAATCTAGTTCAAAAACCAATTACTACAAAGACTTATATGGTGCTGGTATCCGCGGTTCTGCACCTGTGACTCTTCCCCCACTACCGCCTTTACCGACCAATTGGCTGAAGGAGTATTTGAGCGAGAGTGCGCAAAATTGAGCCGAACTGGGGGAGAGGGTGGCTTCTCGTTTCGTCTAAACATGACAGAGGAGTAGTCAAGAGCTTTCTTTAGGAGAAGAGTGTCAGTGAAATGTGCCTTGGACCATCGGCAGCGGTTTGCGATCTTGAGTTGTGTGATAACGAAAATGGAGGTCAGGCCATAAAATGGTGGTTGATGTCGATGTAATCCAGCCGTGTTCGACCATGTCACACACCATCACCCACCTATTGATGTCAGCAAGCCTCTTTGATCCCAAAGGAAGATTTGTAAAGCGCTTACACCCAGTAACGGCATCCGGAGCCGCCGCCCGACATGTCATATCGAAAGCGACGAGCGTCACGAATGTGATTTGCAATATCACAAACTCTGAAGAATTTTGCCCGCGGGAAATCCCATTTTCGAATGGCCGAGGTACTGAGCAGATAAAGCTGTTGTGTCCACTCCAGAATGCCGTCGATGAAGCCCGGCTCGGCTCTCATGTTGATTCGAATTGATCCTTGACTGCCGACAAGAACGAGAGATATGGACCAGTGATTGTCGCTAGTGGTCGGACCGGCAGGTCCTGAGGTGTGTACAACCACTCGGACAATCTCAACCGGCCGAGAATCAATCTCGAGGGTATCAGGCGACACAATGGTAGACATGGTGGTCATTACACATGGGACAAAGTTTTGGCCACCTGGGCTATAATTTCTCAAACACCAGAGCACGAAAGTCGCCCATGCATTTGCCATGGAAAATTTCAGCAGCCAAAGAATCGATGATTCTCGCGGTGATCGAACCGATCAGGTTGTACAAGCAGGGGGCAGGCGGGGGACTTTGGTTGACTTATTCGTAGGCAGGTATGCGTCTTGCTGAGTTCCTCCACTCAGCACCCAGAGGTCTCTCACAAACCGTAGTCACCGACAGCAGCATCTCTACGCCAAAGGATACAATATTAGGTCCCCAGAGAGTGAAAATTGATCTAAAACGTGCGTAGCCATCTCGGGAAGGAAGTGGTATCAGCTCTCGTCGCTCGAGGATTAAAACACATATTCCCCTGCGCATAAAGTGTCTTAACTGCTAGGGACTCCCAGTAGATTGCCAGTAAGAATACTCGGTAGAAGAGGCAGTATAGAGCCTCCTGAGATACTGGGTAAGAGTCTCGCCCTTCTCTTACGGTATTAAGTGCAATATAGAAATGAGAAGAAGAGGCGAGTAGTATTCAAAAGCGGCATAGGTTGGGTGGGTGGGTGTCCGAGGTGCGGCTTGGCGGATCTACGTCACCCCAGTTTTTGGACGCCAAGCCTGCGTCTCCAAAAAAAAGTTTCAATCTGCAAGTTGTCGGCCATAGCATATGGGTGAGCAGCAGGAACTTATTACATACGGTTACTGATGCGCGGAAGGGAAGACCCTATTTGCGTACTCCTTCAAGATGGCCAAAAAAAGAAAGGCTGCACGCACGGTGCAAACCTCCACCCCACGGGGACAAAATGATCGCTATGGCGCCGAAGAAACCTTTGACGACTCGGAAGACGAGTTTTTCGCGGGGAGAGACAAGGTGCTGCTCGATGAGGCACCTGCTGCGAAGAGGAGGAGGAGGCTACAAGACCAAGAGCGCGACCTGGAGCCGTCGGACGAGGAGGTCTACCAGGAGCCGGCGAGTGAAGACGAGTCCGAAGATGATGACGAGGGAAGCACTGGCCAGGTTGAAGATGATGGAGAGGAAGAAGAAGAAGGAGATGATGGCAACTGGGGGACATCCAAGGCCGACTATTACAATGCTGATGTGATCGAGACTGAAGCCGATGCGTTGGAGGAAGAACAAGAGGCCCGGAGGCTGCAGCTGAAACAACTCAAGGCCATGACCGAGGCAGATTTTGGATTCGACGAGAGTGCTTGGGTCGGCGACAATAAGCAGTCTCAAGAGAAACGGACAGCGGTGGAGAAACTGCCTGAACTCCACATCCCTGAGGATGCGAGTGTCGACGAACGGATTAAAATTCTGAAATCGAGATACCCAGAGTTCGAGCCACTGACGGAAGACTTTCTCTCCTTACAAGACACGTACCGGTCACTGAAGAAGGAAGCCGAGATCGAAGGACAAAACGATGGCGGTGTCACGCTGACAAAATTTCGAGCCGTGTCTGCGTACCTCGGGGCAGTGGCCATGTATCTTGCTCTACTGACTTCCACCAAGACAGGCATGGCGCTGGCCCCCGCAGAGCTCCGAGACCATCCTGTGATGTCGAACCTTGTCCGCTGTCGCCAGCTGTGGCAGGAAGCTGAATCCCTGCAGCCAATAGAACCCGTTGAATTGGAACCACCAGCCGTTGTGTCACAGGATGAACCTAGGGAGATTTTACGACAACCGGCGAAAAAGAAGTCGAAGTCAAAGACAAAGACAAAGCAGGCATCTCTGGAGCCACTCTCCGCCCCCGAGATTCAAGAGACGAGCATCAAGAAGTCGAAAAAGGTCAAGAAACCAAAGAAAAATGAATTGCAAGAACTACTATCGTCGTCACTGCGGAAATCGACGAAAGAAGAAGATGAGGAATCCGACTTTGGAGACGAAGATCCCCTGACTCAAGAGGAGGCAGCGGAGAAGGCTCGACGCAAGAAGTCTCTGAGGTTCTACACCTCGCAGATTGTGCAGAAAGCCAATAAACGAGGCGCGGCGTCGCGACAGGCCGGCGGTGACGACGATCTGCCTTACAAAGAGCGCCTCCGAGATAAACAGGAACGGCTGATGCGCGAGGCCGAGCAGAGAGGCCGAGCGACCGCGAACGAGCGGGAGGTCCTTGACGATCAGGACCATGACGACGACGATGGTAGTAGTGACGTCGAAGTCGGCCGGAAAATCAACGACGAGGCCAACGAGTACTACGACATGCTGGTCACCAACGCGCAGCAGAAGAAAGCGGCCAAGCGCGCCCGAGCAGAGGCCTACGCCGAAGCCGCCCGCCTAGGCGGCCAGGTGCGCGAAGAGGCAGAAGAGGTGGTTGGCCCGGACGGCAAGCGCAAGATCACGTACGCGATCGAGAAGAATAAAGGCCTAGCCCCCAAGCGGAAGAAGGAGGTGCGCAACCCGCGCGTCAAGAAGCGCAAGAAGTTTGACGAGAAGATGAAGAAGCTGGCGTCCGTTCGACAAGTGTACAAGGGTGGCGAAGGACGAGGTGGCTACGGCGGCGAGGCCACGGGCATCAAGGCCAACTTGGTCAAGAGCATCAAATTGTGAGACCGTATAGGCGTGCATGGCATGCACGGGCGAGGGCATGGCCTTGTATAGGAACCTAGCGGGCTGGACAGTAATGTGTAGCAAAGACGCTGTACATCTCTTTCCCTCTCTCTCTCGCTCTGCGTCCATCATCCTACCAGGCTTTCTCCCCCGTGCTAACTATTCCTTCCAAAAGCTGTGGTTTTCTCCAATGTCCCTCTCGGCACGAGGTAAGGAAACCATGTATTTTCTTACGAGGCACATACACCCCCCTCTCACTCGTCAGCGATCGATACGATAGATGTATCGAAGTGCAGAACTGAGCTCTGAGTTTCTGCGTTATCGGAAGTATCCCAGCGAATGAGGAAGAAGGGCAGGGGCGGTTTCAAATGATGGCGTGCTCTGTATGTATGGGTGGCTGTGCTTTTTTTTTTTAGGCCAGAGGTATGATTTTGTCTGTCTACCCGACGTACGAGGTACATATCTACACCTATCCGCTTGCTTCTATTGTAGTTGTGACGGAGCGATCAGAACAACACGATCTGATCTACCACTTCTGCCTGTCTCTTTGGCAGAGGATTGCAGTCAGTGCATATCTTATCTTGTCTTGTCATGTCATGTCTTAAATCTCCCTCAGCCCTCCCCACACCCTTTTGTTTCCCTATTTCTAGGCGGGATTTTCTTTCTAAATGCCCAAGGCCTGTCGGCGCGAAACCGAGTTGGGGTCAAAGTAGGGCCGCTCGCCGAGGGAGACGACGCGGTTACCCTGGCGCTTGCCCTCATAGTCGTTTGTGGCGGTGTGGAAGACGGAGCGGTTGTCCCAGATGGCAAGGTCGTTCTCGTTCCAGCGGAAGCGCACCTGCAGGTCGTGATTGTCGGTGATGAGCTGCAGGAAGTAGGCCTTGAGGATCTCGCTCTCGCGCGGCGTCACCTTGTCGATCCACCCATGCTCGATCTGGTGGCCCGCGCCGAATAGGCTCTTCCATCCTGTCACGGGGTTGGTGCGCACCACGGGGCTGTGGACAAGTTTAGCCAAAGAGGGACATACACAATGGTGATTTGTTGATGGGGGATGAGGAACTTACTGGGACGCGGTAAAGTCGAGACCCGTGTTCTCGGGCGCGCCGCGGTCCTGCTCAATCAGGTCCTCGCCAAACTCCTTTGCCACCTTGACAAAGTTGGGCTGGTGGTGCGTCGCCGTCAACCCCTCGGCCAGCTTCTGGAACTCGGGTGACAAGCGGTCGTACGCCTCGTAGCCCGACGCCCACAGCGTGTCGCCGCCGGCGTCTTCAGGCTTCTTGATGATCTTGAGGATGGCGTAGTCCGATGGGATGCGCTCAAAGGTGATGCTAAGGACGGGTTAGTCATGGAACTTTCCCCCCAAGAGAGCACCTCAAGGACGGTGTCGACTTACTCGGCATGCCATCCTTCGCTGGCGAGCACCTTGGACTTGGCGGTGAAGCGGTCCTTGTAGAACTTGCGGTTTTGCTCGGAAGAAATGACTGAGACTTCGTCGTCCAGTTTGCCATTCTCGTCCACGGCGATGCCACGCTTGCTGTTGCTCAGAGCATGGCGATGGAGCTGTTATTGTCGACGTTAGCCAAGGAACATACATCACCGACGAGGTTTATTGAGCAGGTCGGCAATAACAGCGTGGTTGTCATTCATACCTTGGACGTCTCAGGCTTTCCCGTGAGCTCTCCGAGTTTCTGGCCCAAGACCTTCTGATCGTCGATGTTGAGGTCCTGGTTGCGGAAGAAGACGACACCACGTTGAGACACTGCGGCCAGGGCCATTAGTATGTACTGGCTCAGTGGGGGAAGCTCTCGGGGAACAAACCTAGGATGGCCAAGTCACGGATCTTTGTGTCGTCGTTCAAGATCTGGCTGAGTTGCAAGTCTGGGAACTCCCTGCCAATGACCTTTGTGACATCGAATGATTTGTATTGGTCCAGCGAGCCCGAGTACTTGAGAGGCTCCTTGAGCTTGCTTTGGGCGTTGACTTTGGTGACTGGGATGGGCCCAGAACTCGTGTGCGTGAAGAGATCAACGTCGGCTGCTGGAGGTGCCATGTTTGCAGGGTGTCAGGTCAACAAGAAAGACGATCTTCTATACACGGTATGTCTTTCTGGGGTGGTCTTTTCTTCTTTCCTGGTCAGGAAGGATGTTCAGGGGCAAGGAACTTGAGGATTGGGAAGTAGAGAACAAGGATACTAGAAGGAGGAAATACCCTGTCCTCATATACACGAGAACCCAGGCCTGGATAATGCACTCTTCTCACAGAACTTCTCCTTGTAGAGAGCCCTTGAGCGTGCCGATATGCCGTCTGAGCCGCGTCCCTCTTTCATCCTCGCTTCAGGCCTTTCCAAGGAGTAAGTGATTGGGTGAAGGAAGAATAATGCGATATGCTCTCGATATTGTGAAATTTGCTGCTTATCGTCTTCAAGTCCACAAACGAACCGAACCTACCGGGATTGGGGGACGACGCAGACGAATGGCAAGTGTTCATCGGGAAATGGTCACCAGAAACCCATATCCTGTCGAGATTCGATTCTCTTCTCACGTTTTTTTTTTCTTTTCGCCGAGATACACCAACACTATAGCGCCAAAGCGTCCAGTCTCGCACGAGAGGGGGCCGGACTGGGACCGGGCTGGGCTGGGCTGGGCCCCCCTCCGCCCCCCTTTCCGAACAACACATCAAGCGAGCCGGCATCCGGTGTCCAGTAGAGAGGAAGGGAAAGGAACATTTCACATCATTTTGGATATCCATGGCGCGATGGCACGAACCGTTAAAACCGACTGTTGCGAATCCGGGGGGTTCCAGTATTGGCCAGGCATCTCGTCAGCTGGGCAGTGTATTGCACCACCAAGAGGGGGATTGATGAAAAAGACAGAATATCTCTTCAGAATGGCGCAATGGGACGAGATCTGGAGATGGGTTTCGAGCGGGCTTTGGGCGGTTGGGGCGCAGGAAGCATGTGCTGTGCCAAACTTGAATTATGGTGCCATTCTCTTCACATCGCATCGCAGGAGGAGCAGGCGGGGGCGGAGGAGGAGGAGGAGGAGGGATCGGCGGGGCGAAAGCAGTGAATGCTGAGAGGTTCAGTTCATGCAGGGTTGTCGGTTGATAGTTTGATAGTTTCGATGGAGACGGCGCTTGGTTTTCTTGGTCTGTGGTTCGCCATCGACGAATCATGGTTGGCGCTTTCATCTGTCTCCCTCATCATAGGCCTTAGATTGCAGATGTCGTGGGATTATAGTGTATTGCGTATGGAAATGACTACCAGACGGCAAGAAGAGAAGAGGTTGATGAGGGAAATGAGTGGTCCAGATACCTGCGCAACCGTCACATTCTATTCGTCTACTCTCCCTTATCAACGAGTCTACATGGCTCTAAACACATTGCAGCAAAACACTCGTGTACGTCCAACACGGGCTAACCTCAATCATCGATCCCGGTCCACAAATTCTGCAGCTCCTCCATCTCTCTATGTATCCGCACGCCAATGCTAATCCGTCGTCGTGCCTGTCAGGGTTCTTCTGCTCTCAGCTAGCAAAGCGGAAGTCCAAACGCTTGTTGCCCTTGTCAGTGGTCGTGGCAAGATATTCAGCACGCTGCTCCTCCGTCATGGCGTTCCAGATCCGATCCCGGCGCTTGTTGCGTACGACGTAGTAGACTTTTGCAAAAACATAGATGCCTATGTTCACCGCGCACAGCGAGACAAGGACTCGATTTCCGCGTCGATAGCGTGGTCGATCATCTGGGGAGGTGAACGGTCAGCATTTAGAATCACACAAGCCTCACTCGGGAATCTCGAGACTCACCTTCCCGGTAGATATTGCTAGCAATGATGCCAGAGGTCTGGCATCCCATGTTGTACAGCGCAGCACTCACGGTCCGGCTTCGAACCGAGTTGGAATTCCTCGAGCTCCATCCGACCTGGATGGCATGCGTGCTAGGATACGCAAGGAGGACAGTCATGATCCCGAATGCCGTCCATCTATTGATCGAGTTGATGTCGATCGCGTAGATGTAGGACAGGAATGGGAGGGCCCATACTTGCGCGAGGAGGCCGAAGATCCACAGCTGGCCCACGATTTCTGCAAGGTAGGTGAAGAGGAGCATTGTCAAGATGTGTCCGACGACAGAAGGGACCACCAGCAAGTTCGTCTTGATGGTGCCGAATCCCAACTGTTTGAGTGACAGGGTCAAGTATTGAGTAGGTGTCGCTGACTTGTTAGTCACAGGTTCTGATCGACAACGAAGGGAACTTACTCATCGGAGTTTGGAAGGTCAACCCAATTATATACAGAGGCCATAGATCATAATCTGTCAAACTGTGCCAAAGCAGCTTCGGGGTGATGGGCTGTCTGTTGTGCATTGTACTCTTGCTGGGATCTTCTCTGATGATCCTATTGACCATGATGGTCTCCTCGCTACCGTCTCATCAGCTTAGGACTTCTCGGTCAGTTAGTTCAGAACTCACCGTTCTGTAAACCACCCCTTCTTCCCTCTTGCCCAGTTGGCAGTTTGGCAAGGGCCAGGCGGCATCAACATGAATGCAACCAATCCAAGAACAAGAGTCAGAAGACCCTTTGATTTCGTTAGCACAAGTCACATGTTATGTCTATGGGTTATTGTTACCTCGATCAAGAAAAGCCATCGCCACCCGGCGTAGCCAAGGTGCCCTCGCATGCGAAGGAGGCCTGCCCCTAAGAAACTGGCAATGATATCGGCTATCGACATGGCCGTCCACCAGAAGCCGAGTCTGAGAGAAAGTTCACCATGCTTGTAGAAGTATGAGAGGTATAGGATCATCTGGACAAAACATCAGCCTCTATTTCTTGGAGACGAAATTGACACGCGTCTTGACATACATCGGGGATGAAGCCACCCTGCAGAAGGGCAAGTAGGGCCCTGCAAGTGAGAAAACTGGCTCGACCAGAAAGCCAGAACTGTGAGCCGGCAACAAGAGACCAAAGCACCATCTGGGTAGGAATCCAGCGATCGGGGCCCATCCACTTGGAAACCAGTTGAGAAGGGAGCTCGGCGCAAAGGAAGCTGAGTTTGAAGACGGTGTTTCCCCAGTTGTAGTCTGTATGCCATCAGCCAAGGTCCTCATTGCCCAGGAAAGTGACTGGGCATCACGAACCATTTGTGTCCATTCCAAGGTCACCAAGGAAGTTGTCCGTGACGGCTTGGGTCAAGTTTGAACGGTCCAGCTCCAAGGACATGAACATGACGCAAGCAAAAATCATGATTTTGAAGTCGATTTTCCGTATCAGGGAGTATTCCTCGCGCCATGTCCATCTCGCCGAAGGATCAAATCGTCGGAGATTCTCCCAATCGTCGCGAGGCTGATAGTGCTTGGCCGTTTCAGGGTCATCGAACACGGACGGAAGGGTCGCGATGGCATCAGGGTTGTACCCACGGCCTCTCTGCCACCAGAATTTCTTCTCGTCGGCAGGCACCCCCAGCTCGAGAGTACCGGCTGGGGTGGAGGGGATGCTTTCCTTTGAATCAGAGGGGCTTCCATTGAGGACTCGGTTTACCACGATGGTTTCCTCCTTTTCATTCAGGACCGGTCGAACGAAAACGGTCGCCATGTTTCGAAAATTTGATCTGTTGATGTCTCTATTGGTTTCACACCCATGATAGCAGAGGTGCCAGGGGTATTTAAACACATCGGGACATGATCTATCAGCAGCACTCCCTTGCCAGGCTTGTAGATAGCTTGTTCGATAGGACCGCTCTTGGCCGTATTGCGACATCCACGCCGTACATATTGCAATACTCGCGAATCAAGCAGTTTAGCACGACATCTTCGCGGATCATTCCGTGATGCAGAACAGATGGCAGGACTGCACACCAGTAGGATTTGGCATGTTGTTAATCTAGGACCTAGCCCTTTAGCTTGGAAGAGCGTTGCAAACCTTCAGGGGTGATCTGGAACGATTAGCGGTCCCGTGTAGTCGCAGGACGACACATGCATGTTAACGGCATGCTCTTGCGTCTCCAAAGCCACAGGCCTGGCCATCTCTGAGGAGATCCATTCGATCCGAGGAGCCAAATGCCGAGCAAGCAGGCTATTTCTTAGGATTCTTGACCATCCTGGGTAACAGAAAATGCTCAGAACGAAACGACAGTGGAGGCAAATCACCTTTCCGGCGTCAGGATGACGCCATCAGCAGCCTTCATGGGTTTGCATACAAGACTTCGGCGGGTTCGAAGCGAAGAGGTTTGATAACGGTCTAGAGGCGACAAAAGGCGATGAAATCCCTGCTCGGTCAAGTTCCCGGGAAGAAAATGGCGAACAAGATTCTCGGAAAAGAAGAGAAGAGCAAGCAAAAGGCAAGCTTGGGATGGCATATAATGCCAAGGCTTTGGATGAATACCACGTGATATCACAAGTAGATTGATCTGTTCGGACGGGATGCTCCCTCATTGTTTTGGCTTTTACTTGAATACGTTGGCTAGTCTGGCTGGTTCTCTGCCTCTCTCGGCTGTATGAAATGTCCCGCTGGACTCCCATCAGTCACACAGATACCAGGTGCCTTTTCATCCTTTTCGTAAGGTGGAAGGTAGGGACGATGGAGACTGCTGTCGCCCCTTATGTCTCGGCAAGAGATCACGGAGGCAATCCTGGGTCTAGATGTCGTTATGGAAGGTTGGTGGCTTTTGCCACGCGCTGTTCCTCCACTGGATGCCCTTGAACCGGAGCATGACCATTGGGACCAGGAAAACGATGTGGATCATGGCAAAGGTCAGCCATGCGTACTGATACTCGATCTGCTCGCCTAATGGGATCCTGTTTCGGTAATTTAAGATGGGGTTAGCCCAAAAAACTATATGCCATCCGGATTCCATCGAGGCCGGGAGCGAGCGAGGCTGGGATACTCACGCATAAAAGGAGATGGTCATGGAGAAGACATTGCGAAACACGTTGAGGAGGCTGGATATCTCGGAACTCTGCGGCTTGTAACACTATTGCGAGTCAGCGCCAATTGACACATAAAAGTAGCATAGGCGAGGGGTGGGCCGCATACATCTGTGCAGTAGCTGTAGGTGACTGTAGTCGCGATTTGGAGGCCAAAGTTCGCAATGCCCATGCCGAATGCTGCACCCACCCAAGGGACGGTTTTGTAGTGCGTCAGACAGATGCCATCGATGATGATTCCGATCGGGCACAAGACTGCCAATACCACCGCATTGATACGGGGCTCTGGCTCCCGTCGCCCTCCGTGATGTTTGGCGTAGCGATAAACCATGTAGTCAGTGAGCCACCCAGCACTCATTTCGCCCAGCAAACAGCCGATGAGGAGCGGAATGCTGAGCAGCATGCCAGTCTGCGCAACGTCGAAGTGATATACTGTCCGAAACAGGCTTGATCCGGTCGCTGCGAACAACACCGAGCCAAATCCAAATGCGGTCATGTAGTAAAAACCGGGAATCACGATCGAGAGATACTTCAACATGTAAAACGGCCTCAGGAAATCTCCGAACCGGAGTTTGCGGTCCTGCAAGCCGGAATGTCTGAAGAGCAACAGATCCACAAAAGAACGTTCAGGTCGGTTAATCGAGGTCGACCGGCGAGAATAGATTGTTTCTGGTAGGAAAAACAGTGTAAAGACGAAAGTGCCGAGCTGGATATAGCCCTATAGGAGAACCTTCCGGTCAGCAAAACAGCCCTAGGTGGTTGGCATCTCGATCAACTCACTGGGATCAAAAAGCACCATCTCCAGCCTAGACTCTGGCAATGAAGCCACCGAATAAGGACGCAGCATGAGGCCCATTGGTGAGAAGAAACGTGAAGATACCCATGTAAAAGCCACGTTCATGCAGGAAGTACATGTCGCAAACTGTTGCTGCTCCTATGGCACCTGGAGAACCGGCACCAATGCCATTGAACACGCGAGTCACCATGATCCCAGCCCAGGTGTTGCAGTAGCCCGCAGCAATATTGGTGACGGCGGCCAGGAGGTTGCCAAGAATGTAAACAGGTCTTCGGCCATAGACATTGGCTAGTGGCACGGTGAATATGGGCCCTACTCCCGCGGCGACAATGTAAACGGTAAGTTCGTACGAGGCTTCGACGATGGTGATGTTGAATTGCTTGCTCAACGGCACGAAAGCCGGATTGACAATTGCACCAGCCATAGGTCCGAGGAATGCGAGGAAACTGACTTGTAACAGGACGAATAATTTGAGCATCGGTGACCAATTCTGGAGCCAGTCAGTACAAGTTCTGTTCACCCCAAAGCCCTCGCCAGCGCCTCACGTACAAGAGGATCATCTTTTCGATCTGTTGGCTGTGGTATCAGAGGAAGACCCCGTTTGTCGAGTTTCTGGCCTGCCGTTTCTTCTCTCTCGTCCACCTCGACCCTTTTAGCATCGTCAATGTCAACAACGGCTCCTTCAGACGACCATTTGTCCTGCTCCATATTCATAACCTCCGCCTTACTCGAGAGAGAAGAATCCAAATCGTTATATAAGGGCCGTATGCAACAAGTGCATGCGAATTAAACAGCAAGAACGGCGTCAACTTGAACTGTCGACTGAGCCAGGAATGCGGTTCAGGAAGAAGGCAAATCATAACCTGCTGCCCTTCCCTGCCCGTGGCGAAGATATGAACCCTGGAACCCAACGCAGGATTTGCACCTGCCTAGGCAAGTAAAGAACGTGGGGATCTGTGTGCTCGGTAGTTGCATGAATCCTGACCGTGACATGGGAGACTCGTGTGGGGAAGTGGGTTGGTTTCCAGACCTCCTGACCTGGTATGCTGATTGCCATGTATCACAACCGCCTCATTCGGTATGTTGGAATGGGAAGATGGGGCTTGTTGAGGACAACATCATTGCAGACGGCCCATGACCGCCTTGGCCTGCATGGGGCTGTTGTGAGGGCAACCAATTTGAGGTCCAGAGTGACTGTGGATGAGGTGTCTCGGGGAGATAATGATGTGTATCCCACGCACGACTGATACTCAATCTGCACAAGCTTTTCTCCACAATCCTCCAAAACTCTTGTCCATTGGAGGCTCTTTTCTCCGCTCACACCCCAGAATTCAGTGACCGTGGAGCGGCGGGGACCACTGAGGACTTTCTTAGACTCCCTTCTGCTGGGTGCTGGCAAGGGTGATGGAGGCAGCGAGGGTAAGTGGCGGGACTATATTTGGAGATGCGCGCCCATGCCTTGTCGAAAACGTGCCAGAAGGCCTGTACTCGTGGAAAACCTGACAAGTCTTGCTCGCAAACGAAACCTATTATCCAATCATAGATAATACGAGTAACTAGCCCAGACAACTTTGTCCCCGGTCCGACTTCTTACCGAAAATGCCTTCAGCAATCGATCGCCCCCCGCTAAGGGTAGCCATAATAGGCGGTGGTATTGGCGGGCTCTGCACTGCCCTCTCCCTTCATTATCACTGTGGCTCGCACGTTGATATCGACGTCTACGAGCAAGCTCCGCAATACAAAGAGATAGGTGCCGGTGTCGGAATCGGCGTCAATGCTGCCAAGCTGTTGCATAAGATAGGTATCGGGGAGAGTGTGGCGAAGATTTCAGGGAAACGGAGTGGCATCTGGATCACCTTTCGCAAATTCGACGACGGCTCGGATGTGGTGACAGTACCATCCGTAGATACGGACGAGATCAAGCAGCTCCCCGTGCATCGTGCCGAGTTTCTGGACCTGCTGGTCGAGATTGTAAGACAGAAGAATGCGGCTAGGCTGCATACCAACAAACGGTGTCGGAGACTTACGGTATGTTCCCAGTGATAAGAATCCTAGACCCGTGGAGCTGACAGACAAACAGGAGCAGGGAGACGAGGTACTGATCGGGTTCGAGGACGGGACGACTGCCACAGCCAACTTGGTTGTCGGCTGCGACGGCATACATTCGGCCGTCAGGGCCCAGTTCACCAGCGACAACCCCGAGTACAGTGGCAGGATCGCATACCGTGGTCTGGTACCCATCTCCCAGATTGAGGACTGGTGGGGGTTCGAAACCTATTCCGTGACATGGCTGGGGAAGAACAGGCACTTTCTATGCTTCCCAATCTCCCTCAACAAGACGCTCAACATTGTCGCATTTGTGGCCGAAAAGGAAGAGAACTTGGGCGATCTTCGGGAAAGTTGGACGGCGGTGGGCAAGAAAGAGGAGGTCTTTGAGGCATTCAAGGGGTTTGAGGAACGAGTCCAGAAGGTCATCCAACTGATGCCAGATCAGCCGTCCAAATGGCTGATAAATGACCGCAAGCCGCTAGATCAATGGGTTTATCTCGGAGGTAAGGCTGTATTACTGGGAGACGCTGCGCATGCCATGACTCCTCACCAAGGTCAGTATTTTCTGGTAGATGTGTATGGGTTGCTTGGACTAACAAGTGGCAAAGGCGCAGGCGCAGGCCAGGCCATTGAAGATGGATATATTCTTGGTCGAGTTCTCCAGGATTACTTTCGATCTTCTTCTGCGATGGACAACCTCGAGGCCTGGGTCAATGTATATCAGGACGTGCGGCTCCCGCGAGCACAAAAGGTTCAACGCACATCCAGAGATGCTGTCGAAGTCTATCAGGCGCAGGCGGATATCATGAAGGATCTTCCATTCGACGAATGCGTGCCCGAGATTCACAAGCGTGTGATCGACCGAATGCAGTGGGTTTGGACAGATGATATCGATGCTGAATATGATCGGGCGGTGAAGAACAGGAAGCAATTGGGTAAACTGTAGCCTATAGACGAGTTGTTTGAGTGACGTTTTCAGAGCCATTGTTTGGAGGTCGCTCTTTATCAGCCCTACGTGACTTTTTCTGAGCTGCGACTCAAGAGCTCAAGAACGGGAAGTCACTTACTTTATGCCGCTACACGGGTTTTCAGCTGAAGGGTGAAAGAACCGCGTTGACAAGAAATAGATTATACGTAGTTTCTTCCATAATCGCCCACGCTATAGTCATTCATTCGTAACATAGTCCAATCCTTCCAGATGTTCATACATAGCCGAATATTCTAGCTCGGATTGATTGCGTCCAAGCTCAATCGACTCTTTCTCTATGACTCTTTTTCTTCTTCTGGACCACACGGCGCGACATGGATCTGCCAGTATTTTCGGATCTCCTTAGGCAAAGGTCCCGAAGCCGTGCTGTTCTTGTCTTCCATATTATACTCTGGGTGCGTAACGCATTGGGACAAGATCCCTCTCTTTGTCCCTGTACTTTGGTACCTGAGAAACTTCTCTGACACCTTGACATATTGATTGACACCTTCGTGCGCGTCGATCGTGGAGCCCGTTGTCCACCGGAGCAGCCATGGCTCAATCAGTGGCGCGTCCGTGACTGACGGATGGGATGTGCCCACTGCAAAAGAGGTCAGCGGCTCGCGTATTCCAGATTATACGGGTCAATCGCCTACAGGATGTGAGAAACCATGCATCCTTCCCTCTTCTCAAAACACCCTGGACAACATCCTTGACAACGTCGAAATGAGGTCTGCCAAAAAAGATAGAATGGCTTTTAGACCATGAATTTGAATGGAGAATTAGAGTCGGCACCTGGACATCGTGGTTGAGAGGTCCGCTCTGCTTGCCACTGCTGGCGGTCAGGCATTGCAAATGGAAATGTACACAGATGACTTACGGATCCAGAGCAACAGCACCTTGAAATGGGAGAAGCTTCGAAGGGCCTTGCTTTAATGTTTGGAGCTAGGAAATGTTAGCCAAAGGAAATGATCCAGTGATTTTGTATCAACTCACGGCCAAAGTGGCTCCGAATGAATGTCCTCCCATTGTGGTGTTGTTTAAGGCCAGCCGTCCCTCCCACTGATGTAGATATTGGCCTTCGGATCGGGAGTTTGACACGAAGACCTCTTCGCCACCACCCACGTTGATATGCTCTAGTGTTCGAATAGTTTCCTCAACCTCAGCTTGCCGGAAATCGAGCTGGGCCTGTTTGAATGTGTCACTGTCCAACTGAGAGTCGCTCCTGTTTCCAGTCAGATGTTGCTAGGACTCTAGCAGCAGATAGACCTACTTCAAGTGGCGGACGTCGAAATGATGCAAAATCCGTGGTTTGGAGCCTTGCTTCATTATCATAGTGCCCGGTCCACTGCCATCGCGGTGTTCAATGGCAGCTACAATAATTCCACGGCTTGCAAGCTCCCCGACATACTGGGTGTACTGGGTCCGAGAACTAGCCATCCCGTGTGAGAAGACCATGACCGGAAAGCCATCTTCGTGCGTGATAGGATAGTCTTCGAAATCTGGCAACTGAAGTTGCACCACCGGAGATTGATGTAGAGGAACATCGACGTGCGCTGGGATTCTGGTGTTTCCTACTAATGTCCACAGTCCAAGCGTGAGCAACGCATTAGTGACAAAGTTGCTGATTCGAGCGACTCGAGCATATCCCTTGCCCGTTACCCTGAGCGGCTTTGGAACCCAGAAATGCTGTGGTTTGGTTGGAACGGCGTCCCTGTCAGAGGGATAATAGAGAGTGAACAAGACAGTTTCCAACTGCGCTCGATGGTCAGAGCCTGTAACGAACCACGCGGCGCTTGAGTATTGCTCACCTGGAAAGCCGGGTGGCCACCGTCCTTGAATGTCGCATTATGGATGGATCGAGTCTCGACAGGGAGCTCGACATCGATTGCGCCCACAGAGTAAGGACCAGTGTATGGTGGTAGCTTCGATGACAAAGCTGGGGCGGAGAAAACAGTGCAGTAGGCGACATAGGTGGCGACACAGCAGCAAAGAACGTATCTCCATGACCAGCGCGGCCACACGACAGGCTTCACGCGCATCCAGAGCCTTTCCCACACCATCGACCCCATGGTTGCGATATACCGAAAGAGTATGCAAGTTGCGTTGACTACATGTGACGTGAATAAGATGAAGACATTTTGATATATCACGCATTTCTGAAGCCAAGAAAGTCGCAAGTGGCGCAGTCAGCAGCTCGATCGGACATTTTCCTCGCAGGCTGCTCCTCTTTGGGTCTTGGGGGGTCACCAGGCACGCCGGGAAACCAAAAGCGAGAGAGCGTTAGGTGCCGCCGTGCCCCGGAGCCAGTAGTAAGTAAGGGAGGCCACGCCCCCGTCTTGGCACCAAGAACAAAGGCATTTGGCGGTGACGACATCATCTCTACCAAGTACAAGTCCTTACTTGGTACTTAAGACTGCGTACTCGTTGGATATCAACAGCAAAACAACGAGAACCCGAAGCATGTGCCAACTTTCACAAATTCCTCAACATGCAAACCAGGCCACCCTATTCTCGAACATCTGACTGGGAAGTAGGTCAGACTGCCACACTGCATACTCGAAGAGCCGTTCAAATAGAGGGAAATGTGCTTTGGACCTGCCACAATCTTACCTTCCAAACTGCTACCCACTAAAACACTTGCTCCTATGTGACGAGAGCGAAGCACAATGTTGAATGAGGCGTCTACATACACCTTAGATCATTCCATCAAATATGGCTTGCAAGAAATGAAGCATGGAGGATGCGCTGGTGCGGCCAGAAAATTAGCCGAAGGCTTCGGGCCAGCCTGTGCAATTGACCGCGAAAAAAATAGGTTCAGGGCCGTTTCACACTCTCTACGAGGACGGTTGATCTCGAACCGTTCTTCACCATACTTCGATCAGAGACTGCAGAGTTGTAGAAGAGCCGTTGACAAGTGTCAGGCTGGATAATCCTTCGAAGAAACCGCCTTCTCACAAAGCAATGCTGGTCATATCCGATGGGAGCTGCTTAGTCTCTGTCGCGTAAACTCTACACCGCAATCACCTGTATGGCCTCGACGGCATCCATTCTGAACGGCCACGCGGATTGACCGTACACCCCATGGGGAGGATCCTGGGGCTTCTTCGTTCCACAGCTCCACCTGTGAGATATAAGAAGGCTTTTTGTACAAATTCGTCCACACATGTTACAGACTTCTAATCGTCCTAACAAGAGACTTCGTAACTGGAAGTTGAGACTGAACAATTCTCTCATTTACCATGAACCCTAAGGTTATTGAGACGTCCCTGGGCGTGGAAAAAGCTCATGATGAGTTGGTCGACGACGAGTATGCGCTTGAAAAGCTCTCGATGTCAAAAACGTACGATTATTCTGGAGCGACAAGCAAGACCGATCCAGCAGAGATTGCCCTGGTGAGGAAGCTCGACTGTCGCATCATGCCGATGATCTGGGCGATGTATTTCTTGAACTATGTGAGTTAGATTATGATGCAGTGTACTGTTAGCTAACAAGATGCGAAGTTGGACAAAAATGCGATTGCCTCAGCACGTCTTAACGGGTTGGAGGACGACATCGGCCTCACAGGGTCCCAGTACAACACCTGTATATCGATTCTCTTCGTCGGGTAAAAAAGGAGATACTTGAGCTTCGAAGGTCAATATCCGCTGATAGAGTCGCAGATACTTGTTGATGCAGCTACCATCTAACATGCTCATGGCGTCCAAAAGGATTCGACCATCAATCTACATGGGCTTCTGCATGGCCCTATGGGCTGTATGCTCAGCATGTACTGCTTTGGTTCAGAATTACCATGGACTTGTGATCGCTCGGTTCTTTCTGGGAGTTGCTGAAGCGCCTTGTGAGGTCTCACCGGTTATTTGAGAAGCATTGCTAACCTTTACAGTTTATCCGGGTGCACTATTCCTCCTATCCATCTTCTATACCAGAAAAGAAATTGCTACCCGTATTGCAATTTTGTACACAGCGAACATTCTCTCTACTGCATTCTCCGGATTGATTGCCGCCGCCATATTTTCTACGATTGACGGAGCGCATGGAATAGAAGGCTGGAGATGGTGAGGGATTTAATCTAGTCCTCCTTGCATTCGCTAACTCGAGCACCAGGCTGTTTATCATTGAAGGAGTCGTCACATTCGGGATTGCCATACTATCCATGTGGGCGTTACCAGACCATCCATCGTCCACACGCTGGCTTTCGGAGCAAGAGATGGCAATAGCTCAAGAGAGAATTACCAGGGATACAGTGGAGAAGACGGAATCTGAAAGTGCGCTGCAAAGCCTCAAAGTCGCATTCTCCGACCCTCGTCTCTATCTTTTGGCCTTGATGCAAAATCTCCATCTTTCTTCTGCCGGATTCAACAACTTCTTCCCCACGGTGGTGGGCACCCTCGGGTTCAACCGCACCGTCACGTTGGTCCTGACATGTCCGCCATTTGTATTTGCAGCAATCTTTGGGCCCCTCCTTGCGCTCAGCTCTGGAAGATTCAATGAGCGGACGTGGCACATTACCGGTGGAATGGCTATGGGAGTGGCGGGCTTTGTTATAGCAGCGGCGACTCTTAACACGGCTGCTCGGTATGTCGCCTGTTTTCTGTTCTCGGCTGGTGTCTATTCCGTCAACTCATGCATCCTCGGATGGGTATCAGCGACACTCGGACAAACAGCAGAAAAGAAAGCGATTTCCTTGGGATTTGTCAACATTGTGGCCAATGCTTCTTACATCTACACTCCATATTTGTACCCAAGCTCTGACGGTCCGCGCTACCTACCAGCCATGGGTGCCAATGCAGGCTTTGGGGCTGGAACCGTTATTTGTGCGTGGGTGTTGAAGATCTGGCTGATGGCTGAGAACAAGAAATTGAGAGCCAGTTCTGGGGACGGTGGACTTGCCTACGCTTATTGATTTCACCTTGGTTCTCGCTGTCGCTGTTGGGGTCACAAATCGTCCATTGGCTGCGGCACTCGTTCTATACATATGTAGGCTTTGTCGAATCTAGGACCCCGTACATGAGTTTGAATGATCATAGACTCCAAAGCAACCGAGAGGTCTAACTATAGATAGAAACAAGCACATTGAAAATTAGGTCGAGGTCTGGCCGGTAGATGGCCGTTCCATTGCTTTGGTGTCGATAGATGAGCCGAAAATCTCCCGTCAACAGCCCATTTTCATCTGTAACCTCACGCAACCCACAATATCTTTTGATTTTATTCCATCTCTACCCTTTCTTTAAACCCTAGCCTGCCTTCAGGTAGCATGTTCTCTCTTGACCGACGTGCATCATGCCGTCCAAGTCGATCGCCCCGATCGAGATAGGATCGTTCACTGCCTCGTCGCCTGAAAAGACAGAATTTATAGGCAGCGCGAGCGGAGTCTTCTTCGTCAACACTGTCTTCCGCGCCTTTGCTCGATCCGCCTACAATTCCAAGGCGCTACCGTCCAATGGAAACTCGACACACAATGACCCCGGGTCAGTCGACAGTCGGCTCGTCGACCCAGAGACCCCTATGCAGCTGGACCACGAGATCGCGGGGATGAGGATCTTGATTGAGAATGAAACAGCGCCGAACTCTTATGGAGTCAAAGGGCATGGACTGGGGGTTGCGCCAGAGCAGGACTCAGCAAGGGAGCTCCTGATGCTATACCTCAAAAATTGGCATCCTCTTTTCCCATTTCTACATGGTCCAACCCTCTTCGAAACAATCCGTGGCCTATATGAGCACGACGGGCAGCGGAGGCTTTCACTGAGAAATCGCCTGTGCCATGCCATCATCTGCCAGTGCGTGTTCAATATTGCAGCCCTTGATCAGCCCGACGGGATGCTTGCCCCGGACTCGCGACTCGATTCGCCGGCCAAGCTACTCTCCCTCTTGGGGTACGTCGCGAGTAACCACGACACTCTTTCGTTGCAGGCTCTGCTCGCCGCCCAACTCTATCTGGTGGCAACCATGTCTCTCCGAGCGGCGTCGACGATAGGAGGGACCTTGACGCGAGTGATGTATCACGCTGGTTTCCACCGGTGTGCTTTCCGGTATCCCCAGCTGTCGCCGCATGAATGCGAGCTGCGGAAGAGGATCTTCTGGAGCGCCTACGTACTGGATCGCTATTTGAGTCAGGCTCTTGGTCATCCTCTGGGGATTCAAGATTCTGACCTGGACGTCTGCGTTCCGGGCATGGATGAACTCCACAAACCGGTTAGGGCAAGCCAGCAGGCGGCGTCCGCAAATAGGGCCCCCGCTGAGGGGGTTCTGGCTCATCTACCCCGGGGCCACCACAGGCGAGGCTCACACTCAGAAGAAGTTACAGCGTCCGAACATGCTGGCGGTCCCACCAACACTGGTTCAGAACCAGAGTCTCCCACTCTGGATCCTTCGCGCGATGTCAATACTGCCCAAACATCCCAAAGCTCTCAGATACTGGGCCATTATGTGCTCTATTGCCGACTCACAGGCCAAGCAGTCCAGACCTTCCACATCTCGATCCAGAACCGGACGATAAATGCAGAGCGAATGATGGAGCTTCAATCAAATGTTCATGCGTGGTGGAACGGCCTGCCTCAGGAATTACAGGACGAGGATACTGGCGACGGTGGCAAGCTTGCCTCGACCTACACATTCTTCTTCTGCATCCTGTATAACCATCTTTTACTTCTCAGTAATCGTCCCTTTCTCTCTCTTTCGCCAAAGTCCCTAGAGTTCAAGTCGAGTCTGCAGACATGTATTGCCGCAAGCCGACAGATTATTACAATGTCACGACGTCAACACGACCGCGGCTTGATCGTATCTTGGCCCGGAATGTTATCAGCAACATGGATGGCTGGATTGGTTTTGGCCTTTGCATGTACACTGAAGCGCTATCCATTCAGCAAAGCGCAAAGGTGAGTCTCCTCTATCAACCTCTGAAGATGGGCTGACACGATGCAGAGAAATCGAGGATTCTATTCGTAGTCTCTCGGCAATGGCAAAGAGCTGGAACAATGCGAGGCATTGTGCAGAGGCACTCCAGTCTCTGTTGGAGAACCTGGCGGCACAATATAATAGGGGACAGAGTGTCATGGTCTCCCCTTCCTCATCCAACTTCGCCATCCCGGGGGCTTCAGTACCAGCAACAGTTGGAGGGTCAACAGAACCACCCACTACGCAACTCTCCATGGCTGAAACAAATGAACCTTCCAGGAAAAGGAAGAGGACCAGTCGAGGGCAACAGGGACAAAGCCGTCACCAAAGCGAGTTACCCGATGCAACGAGAGATAGAGCGAATCAATCTCAAACAATTAACCAAGACTTTGACGCTGATTCCTATCAATTGCCCAGCCTCAACAGTGGCGCAATGTTCCCCATTCTCGAATACACAGGACCGGATTTTGGGTTCAGCAATGGACAATATCCAACAATGGACGACTTTGAGTTCCTCGGTCTGCCAGTTTCCGACGATTTGTACCCAAGCAATCCCGGGGCTTTTGGTAATATCGGTTGGGAGGCCATGGCCAACGGTTCCGGAAACATGCAAAGCTGGGCTGCTTGGGGCACGCCAAAGTTTTGAGCCACAAAGACTTGTGAGTGTCGGATGATATGCTGGACTCCGTTACTCTGTTTGCTCACTGCTACTCACCAAACGAAAGTGTCCTGGAACTCTTTTGGGAAGGAAAACTTGCCACCCGCGGTGCCTGAATTGGCTGCAGAGGCGGAAGATCGTTGATTGCGAACATCAGCCATTTCAGGCGCATGAGACGAGTTGCTAGCACGGTCTTGAGGATTTTGCATCATTGCCACGGATGACGGATCCGTGTCTTCATCCATCGGAGACAGTGTGCCCTGGTCTTGTACTTCACTGGGAGTGTTTGTCGGATGCGATTGCTGATCTTGATTCTCCCCAATGTCGGTGGGGTCCATTGCACATGGATTCTCAACCTGATCCTTCCACACAAGCACGTCTTCAATAGTGTGCAGAGGGAACTGTTCCCAGAAGGCGATGGCGGACTTCTTCTCCTCAGTGGTGCTCAAAGTTCCGACGGAGAGAAGTTGCGGTATCTGGTCTTGTGCTTCGGGAGAGAAGGCCGCCGTCAAGCTTTCTTGTTGGCAAGCCGAGAGGATCCGCCACAGCACTCTCTCAGTCTCTTTCAATCGAATCTCAAGCGCCTCGATATAGCCCTTTGCAGGACCTCTGTTGTCCGAGATAAGTCAGCAGGGTCATGACCCGCCGGCCTCCCAGCAACAACACCATGTCGGAGAGACTGACCTCTTCTGACTTCTCGGCCATGAGCAGGCCTGGGCAAGACTTCGACAACGGCTGCAAATGGGTCTTGGTGTCGTCAGTGTCACACCTCTACGAAAGCAAACAACAGGAATCCATAGCGCCAACGAACCTATTGCCATCGCACTAAGAAGCTTTGTCAATATTGATCTTATGGATTGTAAAGCATCACAGGCCCGACGACTGACCTTCTGTTTCCTTGCTCTACAAGCATAGCAAGCCGAGCGGCTTCTGGAACCCGAAGCACTTTCGGACGAGGCTTTAGGCTGAGGCATGGCTAGCGCAGCTGGACAGGCCCGCAAGGAATCTTCTTGGGTGGGTTTACATCAAGCAGGTCTGCAGGCTTTGGGCGGCAGGGCGGTCAAGCGTCGGCATAAAATTGTTTCTTCAGGTGAAGTTTGAACAACCAAGACTGACGCTCTGATTAGTCAAGAGGCCGATCCCGTTGCGGACAAAAGATTCTCCGATCGGACAATCTTTTAAGCGTCGCTTGTGCATGCAACGATAGTGAAGCCAATGGGCATCACTAATATATGCCGGGAGATGAGAAGAACAGACCAAAGTCTGGTCGCCAAAGTGCTGTCGGACAGTATCAGACTACTAAGATATGTTTGAGGGCTTCGAGACGTTCGATATCACCACGCAGACAACTCCCGAGGTGAGGATACATGGTGTCCAGAGCAAAGGCGGTGGGCGAAATCTCCCGCCTCTGCTTCTCCTGCATGGATTTCCACAGACTCACCACATCTGGGACGCTGTCTCTAGTCGGCTGCGATCAAAATTTGAGATAGTTGCTCTTGATCTTCGCGGATATGGAGAGTCATCCAGTCCGTCCGACCTGTCGAACTATGCAAAGAGCGCCATGGCTAGAGATTGTGTCAAGGTTATGGAGACACTCGGCTTTGATTCATTCTTTATCTGTGCACACGATCGAGGGGCAAGAGTCGCGCATAAGCTGTGCGTCGACTTTCCGGACCGGGTGAGAAGGGCGATTTTCCTGGATATTTGTCCCACCCTGGCCATGTACACGTCGACGAACTTTGAATTTGCCCGGTCTTACTTCCACTGGTTCTTCTTGATTCAGAAGGAGCCGCTTCCGGAAACGTTAATATCACAAAATCCCAGACGATTTGCCGAGTTATTCATGGGTGGACGACAAGCCAGTGGACTGGACATCTTTCAGCCCGAGTGCTTTGATCGCTATGTCCGCAATCTCGGCGACCCGGCCATCGTGCACGCCATGTGTCAGGACTACCGGGCAAGCGCTTCTCTGGACATGGATGAGGCAAGAGAAGACCTTGAGACCAACCGCCTCATCCAGTGCCCGTTAACGGTTCTTTGGGGTCGTCACGGGGTCATTGAAAAATGCTTTGACGCCGTGTCGGAGTGGAGAAAGGTTACAGCTGCGAATGTGCGTGTGGAAGGACACAGCATCGATTCGGGCCATTATATTCCGGAGCAAGCGCCTGACGAAGTTGTCATGGCGATTGAAAAGTTCTTCTTGTGAGCCGTGGGCGACTCCGCCGCTGACGGACAGCGCAACAATTTGTATCAAAGGGCCAAGGGGCCGGGCCATTCCACTCAGCCAGAACATGGACATAGGCAAATGGGAATCCCAATACTACGGGAGTATAATAATATGGCTGTTCTCCACCATTTACCCTACCCTCTTAATTACCTGGGTGCCATTCACCGGTCACCGATGCTCCCAGCCCAAGACATTTGATGGGGGCTCAATAATATCTTCCAAGCTACAGGGTAAAATCGTGCCGGGGTCTGTTATTTCCAGTTCCTGCCACAGCACCACCGAGACTGTCCACGATAGAGCAAATGGAGATGGTCGGCGTCTTATGTATGGTTCATATACGCGCATTAGGTTAAAGAGACGGCAAATTCCTCTTTAAGAGCCTTGCGGCAAAAGCTACATTTCTCTCCCTTTCGCTTTCTTCGTCACTTGCTTCCTCCTCTGACTCACCCTCTCACACGGACTCTTTCTCTCCTTTTTTGTCTTGTCTCTCTACCTCTCTCTAGGTACCTCTTCTCCATAACACTCAGCAGGCAGGAACCTATCAACAGTTCCTAGCCAGCCGAGCCAGCCACTTCTGCCCCTCAAGCTACACAGCGTCTTTTGCGTCTCTCGACTCCACCCTGTCCATGTGCTCGTGAAGCTCACTGACTTTTTCGATCGAGTCGCCTCCCTTACCGTCGTGGTGCTCGACGACCAGTTGATCGTTGGTCGGGTCGAGGTGCACGTCTCTCAGGTAGACGGCGACCTCGTCGGCGTCGCCGAAGATGGCCGCCACCTCCTCGAGGGGCATGCCCTTGGTCTCGGGCACGAGAAACCAGCACCAGACGACGGCGACGGCCATGAGGACGATGAATACCTTATTTTTTTGGTGAGTAAGTGTCGACAAAATCTCGTAACTCCGAGTCTCTGAGGAGGGGAGAATTGGAACTTACAATGTAGAATCTATATCCAATGTTCTGGAACGCCGTGGGCCCGACCTGGAGGTAGACGAGGTCGGTCAGGGCAAAGACCACGTAGCATATGGTGGCACCTTTCGGCCGGATGTGGTTTGGGAAGATCTCGGAGAAGAAGACGGCCGAGTTGGCGTCGATCCCGGGGTCGTAGAAGACGGCGAACATGTAAGTCGCGGCGACGGCGACGCCCAGGCCGGCCTTGTTCTCTCCCGTGTCCGCGTACAGGGCGACCATGGCCGCCTCGATGACCAGACAGACCAGGCACCCGATGAACGCCCACAGCATGAGCGATTTGCGTCCAAAGTAGTCGAGCGCGATGGCTCCACCGAGGTTTCCAAATATAGCCACTTTTTGACCCAGTTAGATGGGTACTTGTATAGATAGATGTCTCTCCGAGAAGCACGAGAGGGAAGATAGAGGCCATGTAGAACTCACCTGAGATCCAGCCGCACTGGAAGATCAGTTGATCGCGCGGCCCGTAGCCCAATGCGCGGTAGATGATAGTGCCCTACCAGCGAAAAAAAAACAAAGGTCAGCGGAAGAGCTTGACGGGAGAAACGTCCCATAGATGAGAGAGCTTTACATAGTTTGTGATCACCGTAGCCCCGGAGCTCTGGCCGAGGAACGCGAACGTGGCGCCCATGACCGCGCGCTTGCGGTAGGACGGCCTCCTGATCATCTCCCACCACGAACAGTTCATCTCGCGATCAATGTCGACCTGCTTCTGCATCTGGAAGAACTCGGTGCGGGCGTATTCGGCGCGCGTGTCGCCCTTGATCTTGTGCAGGTCGGACACGATCTGCCACGCTTCCTCTGGCCGCCGCGCCATGAGCAGGTAGCGAGGTGATTCCGGGATGAACCACAGCATGAGGAGCATGAGGATGGGGAAGAACAGGGCGAGGCCTAGCGGGCCACGCCACTGTGCTGTGACGTTGGTCGAGTAGAAGAAACCCAGCCCGACGTAGGATGCAATCGAGTAGCCCAGGCCAATCATGACGCCGTTCATACCGACCATCAATCCACGATACTCGGGTTGGGCCAGCTCAGAAGTATACACGGGCGCTGTGACGTGGTCTGATCAGTACAAGGTGTGCCATTCGACGGGGGAAATCCTTGGAAGTGTGAGAACAACGGAGAGACAGCCTTCTACGTACTGATGCAGAGAAACCCCCAGCTCCCCAGACCGGTGAAGAAGCGGAACACCATGAACATTGCCGGGTTCAGGCTGGCGGTGAGGATGGCTCCGCTGATGATGGAAATGACCGAACAGACGATCATGGCGGTCTTCCGACCCCATTTCTCCATCACGTAACCAGCCATGATCACTCCAAAGACAGAGCCAGCCTGAACGGTCGAAGAGGTCAGCCAGCCATACCCCGGTCGTCTTGAGAAAAACAGGAAAGGAAACTCTTTTACCTGAAAGATACCGGTGAAAGCGCCGATCAACGTGTTACCATGGGGACTGATTGAGTCGGTCCCGTCCAAGAGGCCCATGTAGTCGAGGAAAGCGGGTTGACCGATCGTCGAGGCGAGGATCGACGAGGGATACGCAAAGCATAACATGCCCGACGATATGGCCGAGCATACGCCAAAGTTCTTCCAGTTCATACGCATGATGGGCGATTAGTGGGTGTAGTGGCTCGGGAAGAATCCTGCAAGGGAATAGCGAACAGAGCAGGTGAGCAGGCCACCCAGGCTGGAGGGAGGACGTTGCTGAGTCTTAAAGTAGATTGTATATAGCTAGTGGCCTCGCTACCCCAGGTGATACATGACGCCCCTTATCAACGGACGTGGGGTCCGCCGGGGGAGAAATCTGGAGCGGTTTTGTTCCTCGTCCGGGATCGATCTTGCGGGCGGGAACGGCGGAGCCATGATATTTGTAGAGCTGGAGGGGGGGAAACAGTCGTTGATGCCGCCATTCGAACAATGGCAGCGAGAATCTCAGTCCCGCTGAGAGAAAAAAAGTGGGTCCGACTCATATTCCCGCCCAATGCGGAATGCACTTTTTCGGCCTGGGTGAAGGTATTTGACAGGGGGCGGGATGTAGGGAATTGAGAAAGATATTCTCGAGATATGGTCTTGAAGAGGCTAATTGGGTTGTACCTGCTCTCAGAAGGGATTGTTCCTCTTGCTCTAGATGATAGGTAGTTGGAGTGTGTGGTCTGCCGATTTCTAGTGCTGGATGAGACACATCGACTATATCTATCAGATCGAAAAAACCACAATAAGCTTAAATCCATGATCGAGATAGACAGACAAGATGTAGCTGATGTAATCGTAGATGGCTGCCGGGCAGGTTGATGTAACGGTCAACCTCATTCTATCTACTCACACCCATAGACTATTCGTAACGGTGGCCGAACCCTCAGAGATATATCATAACTTGTCTGATCTGGCCTCTCTCAGCCCCTGGCTGCACTGCTGCCACACGCTTCGGCTACCGGCCGCAAGGAATGACGAGTCTGATCCTGACAGAAGAAAGCTAAACC